ATTAGCAATCCCCCACACAGGAGCAAGTTCATTTACACAGAAAGTGCAGGAAGATACAGCTCGCTCAGTGTACAGAACACCCAGCAATACATGTCAATCACGCCATTTCTTTTAAAAAGTGGTGGAGCTGAAAGTGAAAATAAGATTGACTGACACATTAGAACCGACAAGGTTGGTTATTTGGGACCTCAAACAGCATCGAGCACACTTAGTGGTTAAGCACTGATAACTGATTTGAAACAACCTTTGTTATGATTATGGTAGAATTCTCCCTCCTTCACCCACTCAACCCCATGAATGTTGTGAAAAGAGCAGGTAAATACAGGTGGCTGCTTTCTCCTGTCCCATCCTCTAGCTTGATTCACACAAGATGACATAACGGAAAATTATCTTGTCAGTATTTACTCTTCTCTATCTGTGTTTGGATGTACAATACAGATAAAGTGTCCCATTGGTCTATGAACATAAAAGCTAATCATTCAACAGAATCTCTTAATTCTATCGCATTTAATGTGCCAAAGCTTGTTATGTGATATATATTGGGTAAAATAAAACAGATGTTGTCATTAAATTGTCACTTTAGCAGTAACTGCAGCCTGGGTTCTATGTGACATTGTCTGCTCTAAACACTTGAAACTGATCCAAGCTGTAAGCCATTGCTATATTATTCATCCTTCCATAAACGATAGTCAAGGCACCATATCTTTATCCACAGGGAAGAGTTAGTAATCATTGCAAAGTGTATTGGAATCAGGTTCGAGACCAGCAAAGTAGTGGCTGGGCTCATGTTCGTTTTACTTCCATTTTAATACTGTTGAAAGCAAGAACAAATGACACTGCGATTGATCACGGTCGAGCACCAGCACAGATAGGATGCTCAAATGGCCATCCATTTCAATAATAATAAACCTTGGATTTGATATGCCGTATCAAATCAAAATGTCTAAACGCGCTTCACAGTAATCATTAAGTGAAGGGCCTGTGTATTTGTAGGCAAACGCAGCAGCTAATTTGTGCACAGCAACGTCCCCCAGTTTAACAGAGAGGAGGGGGTTAATCATGTTCATCGCTGGATATTTCATTAAAATACAGGAAATATTTAAGAATATAATATTAAAGGGAATGGGGAAAGAGCAGAAGAGTAGAATAGATTAGGTGCCACAACTGGCAAAAAGCACCACCACACACTTGATGGACTAAATGGCCTGCGCTGTTCGCCAATAGAGCCAGAGAGGGGGAGGGGCCCGGCTAAGAAGTTCTTTGAAGAGAAAATACTTTTTTTGGACTTTTCTTTCAAGCACTTCAGTAGTAATTCTGGGTCATGCTTCAAATCTAACTTTTGGGAAACACATCAGTAAAGATGCAAGCTGCACATAAATCAACCAGGTTCATATTTCTTTATGATCTAGTCATTACATAAATCTTAAGGTATTAATAGTAACTAATGAAATTGTCATCTCCTAAGTGCCATTAAATTTGAGAAAGCCATTTAGTCCTGACCGTAAACTTATCTTGAGGAATAGTAGTATTGTTCCCATTAAATCATTAGTTCTGAAAATTATAGCCAACATTCTAGCTTATTAGCATGTGAACCAAAAGCTTAGTTGGTATTTTCTACAAAAATTGCATCTGATTGACAATTAATTTTTTTTTGGACTATTACCAATAAATAAGATCTCTAAAATGTAGGTCAATGAAAATGCAAAATATCTACTTTAAATCCAAGATTTTGCACCGATTAAGACAATAATTTACAGATTCATTAGGCTGTTCACTCAGACAGGCTAATTTAAATTTTTTTCCACAAAATAAACCCCAGGAGAAAAAAAGTGAATTCGCACAAGTACAGGACTCCATTTGGTGTTAATGTTTTCTTTTGAACATAATATTTCAAAAACAGGTATAGAAATGTATACCTATAAAGATACATAAATTATTCACTTTACAGCGGTTTGTAGTTCTTTGCTGTGTGCAAAATAGCTGCTGTGTTGGTCTACAAATAGTCACTACACTTGATAACAGTTAGCCTTGTTGTCCTCCCAAAGTGAAAAGTTTTGTCTTGTAATTACCGTGAGCACTTTGGGACATGCCATCAAAAGTGCTATATCAATTGCAAGGTTTATTGTTTAAGTTATCTTGCAAACTGAACTGTCAAGTAAGAGTATCAGAAGATGGTACTGGTCTGACTAGGTAGGTTTTATTTGTAAAATTCTGTTGGAGACATGGCTGGAAAAGCCAAGGAGCTCCGCAGTAATCCAAAGCAATAGTGATGGCCAACTAACACATCGGCTGGATCAATGAGACTTGGGGAGGAGAAAATCCTGCAAACCAAAGCCACAACAGATAGGAAGGTCCAAGCACCTGGAAATATACTGCCGCTCTGTACTTCTAAACTGGGAAGTAACCATTATTATTATTATCATGATCTAATAGTACATTCTTGTAACATTTAAAATAGCTGATGATTTATTACTTCTAGTGTTCCCTGCGCATTGTTTCCCCAAGTACCTTTCTATGCAGTGATTACCATGTTAAAAAAGCATTGACACATGTGCAGATTAAGTAAAACAATGGGGATATATAGCAGTGATTACAACTGAGAGGTTCAGATAATATCATAAACCCTGAGAGCAAAGCTCAAGGGGGTTATGTTAGCCACCTGAATCCTGACATTCAATTACAAGTCTGAAATTACCCCAGCTAAAAGTTATTTATAATGTGCAGTTTCAATTTTGTGTCAGGATTTTATTCTGTTATTCGTTTTTTATAAAACAATCTGCAGCTAAGAGAGAAATTCCATGTCACATGTGATGCATTTTTATTTCATCCAGAGTAACTACTTTAGCATGGCAATAGTGGCAAAATGCTATCCTTTTCTATCCTCCAAAGGCAGCTTTGCACAATTCCACACACAAGGTAAGGTGGACTAAGAAGACAATAATCTCTTGCAAAAAGAATCAAGCATTCATTACTGGCACATAAAATGTTTATCTAACTTGAAGAACCACTTAGATTGCCTATCCATTTGAGGAAAAAGTAACTTGTTTTCTTGTGCTACAATTAAAGGAGTCCTTCCTCTCCCCTTTGAAAATTTCCTTCAAATGGTTCAATTTTAAATGGTATAGGGAAAGAGAATGGGATTACACTAGATAGACAGTGGGAGAAACAAGGACCAGCAAAAAAATGACGGCCAATTAGTCTCCTTCAGTTTTGTAAACTTTCTATCTTTCCATGACAGATTCCCAAAAATCCCATTGGTTTTGTGAATGCAGTAAAAGCATTTCCATTTATTTAGTGATGCTGATTAGAAATTATACATTCACATGTGAAAAAAGCAGTTTATGCATAATAGTTTCTCCTCCAGATCATACTTTAAGTAGACATTTCTGCATGCTTTACACGCTTATTGCATTTTATTATAGTTCTGCTTTACAGATCATTTGAGCAATTACTGATATTAAAGTTCCTAAATCTGTNAAAAAAGTTTATAATGCTCATTTTTAATGTGTTCCACTATTTTCAAGATCTGCTTTATCAAGATAAGATTTTAAAAAAGGAATTTGTTAACCAAATGACTGGTTTGTTCACAGTATGTAATGAATTCTTTAGCAGCCATTTATCAGAAACCTTCTTCATGCAAAACAATCTGCGCAACAATCTTCTGTTCACTCTCCCTACTTGCATAAATTAACACTTGGATTACACATTTTTTAAACTCCATTTCCAAATCGAAATTGCATGAAAAAATATTGAACTTACAATAATAATTTGAAAGATTGAACTAATAACTTAAAATTTATTGTTTTAGTGGCACAATACTTCCATTAAGGTTTAGCCAAACGCATAGCAAATTCTTCCACTATTTCAAACATGCCTTGCCTCTAGGCAAGCAGACACAACTACAATTTTCACTGTATAGTGTCTTTCAAGCAGAATGAACATCTCAAAGCGTTTCCTAATTATGAAATAGAGCACAGAGATCGAAGAGTCAGGGATCGTGATCGAAAGCGGTTAAAAAAATTTTTAAGACGGGTTTTGAAGTCAGTGATAGAGGAAGCTTGGAAAAGTGATTTTAGAAAGTTTTAGCGGTCAAGAGAGTAGTCACTGAAGGCTCAGCCATCAATGATGGACAGAGGAATGATTTCTCTTTTACACCCCAGGAGCAGCACACAGCAACATAAAACTGCAGCAACCAAAGACGGCTTAACAGCAATGCACTAAAACATTTCTTTTTTCAGTTTTCCACTTTTCTTCCTTTCTTGTTCCTAGGTTTCTCAGCCACTTTACAGCTAGTTGTTTATTTTATCTCCCACAACAAATTGGAATGATACATTTATGTAATTATACAGGGAAATGTCTGTAAGTGCTGAATATCTGTAAATAATTCATCCACCTACTAAAACAATCAGATCGGACGGCTCCTCAGAGGGACGAAGATAATGAAACCAGTATGTCTTACTCAAAATTAGGCAGCGACTCAACGGCAGTGTTTTTTTAAAAAACAACCACTTCGCTTAGAAGACTGAAAAGCAAAAGTCTTATTTTATAATTACTTGCCCAGGTTCACTACACAGCACTACACTACAACAAATGGCAAGAACATGAAGCCAGTATTTTGCAAGGTGTATCCTGTCCCCAATGTTAAGACCAGCAAACCAGTGACATTTTTCCTGGTTCCAATTGCAAGAGCTTTATGAAGTCAGTAGCAAAGAAGTATAAAATCCCATTTGGATGAATCACAGGATAACTCTTCTTGAATTTGCAATAATGTGATTTGGTTGTATCAGGTATATATATTTAATATTTATGTGTGCACACACTTTCATATTATTGCGTTGAGATCAAACCCATAACCAGAAAATGCAATTCATATATAGAATAAGACACAAAGAATATTAAATCAGCCTGCAGTTTCTATCCTATGCAATTCCATCTATTGTTATATTCAAAACATCTTGTCCAGGTTAGTTCTACCAGTCAGATGTATTATGTTAACTGACCTGAGGATTTGAGAAGAGAAGTCCTGTATGTTCATGTCTTATTAATTCCTTGTTTCCAGGTATATTTCTGGCCAGCACAGGTACTTTAAGGTCCATTGCCTAGAAGAGATTAAAACATTTCAATGTTTGTTTCCCAACAAGCAGGGAATGCACACATATTAATTTTGGATGGTTTCCATTTTAATCCCTTGTCTCCACAAGACTTCTTCCCACTGCAAGCAATTCTAATCACATCCCACCAGCTAAAGGTGTGACTTGTGTGGGGAGAGTAGGACCGTCAATTCATACAGCCTTCTGGAACTCTTGGGGTCTTGCTAATAATGGAGCTAACATTAATGTTCCCCCTCATCTGGGGTACATAAAATCAAATAGCATGTAGCCCTGGGATTTGTAGTTATGAAGCTCTTTGTTGAAGTTAAACGCTAAATGTTCTTAAATGTATTTTTTAAATGGATATTGTAAACAATGGTAAACAAAAGATTTGTGACTATTAAAGGAAGTACTGGACCTCTAGAATTGCAGAAGACATTCCCTCAGAGATGGAACTGTTCACAACAGCAAAAGAATCCTTCATAGCAGCATGTAATTCTTCCTGGGATAGCTCTGAAAGTAGGTACACGCCACAGGATCTGAAAAATAATCAGTCAGTCAGGCAGCTAAAAACATCATAAAACAAAGATGAACCATATTACATAACATCCAAATGAATTTCAAAAGCAAAGACATTTTACTTAATGGTTTGATTACTGTGATTTTGAAAAAGAGTATGTGTCAGACATAGTTATCTTAGAACAGAGATATCTCTAGTTGAACTGAATTTTGAATAAAAGTTACCTTTTTATTTTATCTTCCACCAGTTGGGCAAACATTGGGTCAATCTAAGAGAGACAATTTTGTCAGAAATGCATCAAACATTTCTCTTTAGGAACATAAGAAGTAACTACATTTATCTGTTTTTTTGATTCTAAACAACTATTGAGCATGACTCAATCGTCTGTTAACATCCTTCATTGCAATGTCCATTTCAAGTTCTGAGCTGGCTGTCCTTAATGACAAGCACTCTAAAAATGGATTACCTAGAGGTGCCCATTGAATTCTGCCGCAAATAGAAGTTGCCACCTTTCAGACAATATAGGTAATGGGAGAGAAACTGAAAGAAAAGTGAAAGGGAGGAACATAACACGTGAGTTGGCCTAATTACTGGGTCATTACATTTCTGAAAGAGGCCATTATGGTAATAATAATACATAAACAGTTGCAAATTATTACTTCGGTATCCAACCACAAAATGCACCAAAAACACTACTCGCACAAAACTAACAAGCATAAAGGAAACTTTAATCTGCAAAGATTGGATATTACACCTTGGTTTGAAATGTTGATGTGGAGGTACAAATGGGGGGAAAATAGCTGTTCAATGTTTAGAGGCACAGAAATAAACTTTCATAAATTAGACAAACTATTTCAGGCATACATTCCTAGTCAGAAGTTTAATTATTCATCTCATCCGAAGTCTGATCTTCAGCCTCATGATAAATAAAATTGTCCAATCAACGAATATGTTAGGTTTGATGAAGCTTTATAAGAATTATTTTTGGTATGTTATGGTTGGACATTTATGTAATTATTTGCAACTGTTTACATACCAATACTATAAGGGTCTCTGGAGTGGGGTGAGGGGGGGACCATCATTTTGTTATGCCCAAGTTTACCCAGTTTATAAAATACTTGGTAAGTCATTAATCCACTCAAACATGTCGTCTTGTTCACTCGTTGTAGAAATAAAATACTTTCCTAGGTTGACAGACTGATCAGATAGAACTTGGGTCAGTTCCTGAATTCATTTATAACAGTCAAGTGACCCAGTTTGCTTAAAATAGTCTCGGCAGAAAGTGGTTCATGTTAATATAATTTGTAGAAACCTCACTAAAACTTCTGCAGATTTGTGGAGGTTACTGAGCACTTTAAATGTATGCCGATTTAAACAAAATTTCTTAAGATGTATCAAAGGATTAATTATCACTGAGGGGAGGAGAAGAAAAAAAGACCTTCCGAATATACTTATAAAACTAATTCCTCCTCCTTGGTGAAAGTATTAATCTAGAAATTAACTACATTTATCCTACAAAACACGAAGTAGGCAGATGAGACTTTTCAGCAATAGCAAAGGAGACATACTATATTTTGTTTATTCAACCATACTGCTGCTCAACTTGCATATGTAATTTATATTTAATAACAGTATATGGTAAATTTGGTACACAAAATCCTTAAAATTGCTGTTAAAATATTTCCCTCTGAATATCCCCCACCCCCCACATCCATAAACACTGCTGGAACAGAACCAAGTGATGCTCATTTACAATGAATGATATTCATGCTGGAAGCTTTCCCTTCCAGGTTGAGAAGGCAAAGTCCTATGTTAAATTATACATAAATTAAATAAAAATAAATTAAATTTTTTTTCAGAAAATCTCCAAAATTAAATGTTAAAACAATTCACAATAACTTTAACTTGATAGATTCAGTAGTGAGTGCCTCATATATTTCAACAACAACTTGCATTTATATAGTAGCCCTCATGCAGGATAGCATCCCATTTCCTTCCCATTAACCTTTTATTGTGGGATCACCACACAGACCGGTAAATAAGAGAACACAAAATATTTGGTTGCTGAAGTACTGAAGAATCATCATTTACCTTCGGTCCAATAATAATCAAATACACCCACGGTTCCTTTTTGTGCCATTCTAGGAAAGACAAAGAATATTTTTGAAATTGGTTAAAACATAAATATATAGTTTCAGGGCTATCCCAGTCTGCAAATTCAGCAAATTTAATCCACGTACATAATGGATTTTTGCCACACGTTACTATAGCACTGAATTCTTAATAAGGAAGCTGCTTCATTTCTAACAAACTCTCATTCAGCTTCATTGCCCTTTCACTCTCAGATCCTGTTTTCTGCTGGTTAATGATCCAGATCAAATAGCCAAAGTCTTAGAATGTGCGATAAAAGGTGAGAATGAAATGCTGAGACAGTTTACTTCATTAAGTATAGGGCTTTCATAATATATATGGATGCTTTCTTTTTACTGAAAAGGATACATTAGAAGGTCAAGTGCTTAAATGGAGCCTGTAAAGAACGTGGCAGATTGTGACAATATTTTTAAAAATGCTTTTTTTTAAATAAAAGATTTTTTAAAAAAATATAAACTTTCTACCCCTTTTTCCTCCCTCCCTCTTATTGATTCTCACACACAATCTCCTCTCTGGGCAGGAAAGTTAGACAATACTGCCCCATGTCATACACTAAATCCAGTTCATCGCCCATAAAATGTACAGTCAATTCACTTTACAATATATTTTGCGAAGCGCTTTGAGACTCTCAACAAAGTGATAAGGCGCTAATACCTAATTATTATTATTATTATTATTTCTGTGCTTCCAACTTTACCTTGATTGCCTTGAGAGAGCAAAATAGGGTAGAGCTCGTTTCCTGAAATTCTAACCAGGAACATAGGCTGAGATTTAGATACCAAGGCTCAAACTTGTGTTCTTTTTAAATGATTACAGCTCAATCGTCAAGCATTACTGCTAATTCATCACCTTTAGTTCAATCATAATATAGTTCATCAGTTAAAATCAGTAATTTAACGTGAACTCAATAACATACAAAGGGGCAAAATCCATACATTACATAACAGAAAGTAATTGTATTCTGTCCCAGCACAAAGCAAGTGACCCGAATCTGCCTGACTTTTCATTTCAGCTGACCCACAATACGCTTAAGATTCAAGAGAATGGTCTCACTGGAACTACCCAAACATTAATAAATAGGTAACCATTAAAGCAATCAAATAATCAAGAGAAGAGCCTCTCATCAATTTTACATTGGGGTTGCTGCAATATAATTCTCATTAAAAAGAATGAAATTAATCTTGTTCTACAACACTGTGATGAGAGGTTACCCTCAACACAGTACAGTATTATGATGGAATTAATTTCTGTTCTTTTTAATTGCAATCGCTTGGGACCAGAAAAAAGAAACTCGACTTGTGATTATTAGAAACATAATTAAAAGTAGTTATTATTTTCCACCATTGTAGCTTTCCAAAGCTGTGCATTTTCTGTTTCCTCCCCCCCATCAATTCTACTCTCTTGAAAGTATCCCTCAAATCCTGTTGAGCCCTCTGATGCCTCACTGCCACTGAAGCCCATTCTACTTTAGATTTAGAGCTTTGTAAGTTCTGAAATTAAGTCCTGTGGAAAAGTATATTCAAATCAAGCAACTTTGACACAGTATTGTAAATTTTACCACTAAACACAATTTTATTACAAAGTGACGCTGCTATCTATATCTGAAAAACAAACTGAAGCTCCTTCAGCAATCTATTAAAAAGGTAGCAAAATTAAAGCAAACATATCCTGCACCATTGCCAGTTAAGGCTTTGAATGGTTTCAAAACTAGTTAGTTATTCAGCTAGCAGTAATTAGGACCCCGGTTGTTAATCAATTGGCAGATCGCTTTCCGGGGGTAATAATCCCTTCAAAAATAAATCATTATAATTTGGTCACTCTCTCCGTGACTGTTTGTGGGAAACTGCTGTGCACAATTGTCTGCTGCTTTTCACCCACAAAATATAGTCAATCCACTTTACAGAATATTCTGTGAAGCGCTTCGAGACGTCTCAATGACGTGATAAGGTGCTATATCAAATGTGAGGATTATTATTATATAAGCAGATATATTCTAGTATGTTATGTAGCTTCTGCCCACTAGTTCCTTCATCTGGATGTGATTGTTAAGTAGCAATAATAATAGTGACAATGTTTTAGTGACAAATGCAGAAGTTCCTTTGTAGAAGGAAGGTCTAGTCAAAGAAAACAAAACGTTCCATCAGTTCATCAATGTTGAAAGTATGGTTAATGTCTTGCCAGAAAAGTTTAAATTATTGTAGAAATTATATCTTAAAACCTCATCAGTATTACATAAAGGTTAAAAAGGGAAAATGCTCATTAAGATGCATTAAATTTCAATAAATTGTGGCAGAACGATAATTATGCATGTCGTTTTCTAATGCGAAAAGGACAGAAGTAGCACCCTTAATAAAACTAAATTATTAAACGATATGCAAGGCTTCCAGTCTGCACAAGTCCTTTCTTCAGACATAAATTACACTTGCAGAAAGTAATGAGCTTTTGATTAACAAAATCATTAATAAAAGGAGTGAACAAATCAGTGTGGATTATGCACATTTCAGTTAAAGATGCAGCAGAATTTACACCACTAAAGCAAAAACACCACCCCATTCAAATGGGGGAATTGATGATGTATTACACTAATACCTGAGAAAATGTCCACTAAATAAAGAGGATCTTTCACTTCTCGAAGTCCACACACCAAAAGAAAAACGTACAGATCAATATTCTCTTTTCGAATCCCTGTAAACAGAATACAGAAGACATGAGCTATTGAGAAAAATCAAATCAATCAAGATACAATTTCATTACAAAAAATAAGGTGTTAACTAGCAGCCAATGTTTTCCTCTCACAATTTTAGCATTTCTGTGGCATGTTTTTTCTCTATTTGTACATTTTATTTTAATTAATTGGATTACTTTATGATGAACTGTCAACTCAGCAATGCATTATGATTCAATTTTGATATAGAATTGAGAAAAAGGGAAATAAAGCCATTTCCAGTTTCAAAAGGCCAATTTTTAAAGAAATTTTCTGACAACAATCCTTGAAGACTGATCAATCTCCATTTTGTTCCTGGATATTCACCCTCTCATCACAAGCTTCTACCTCCAAGTAAACATCACCATTTCTTATTTTGAAGTGGAACTGCACTAAGATTTACACAGACGTTTCATTCCACAATCTACAAATTGAGATCCACAATCTATCATCATCTTTGATGTCACTTGCAGATGGTACAATGAAATGTACAATTCTTCATAAAAGGCAATCCACCTTTGTAGCACCTATGGTGATAGAATGAGAATTATTCACCTTTCTGCAGGCAAACCACAAGTCAGGAGGATGCACATAATGAAAATGAAATGAACTAGACAGTGATAAAGCAGCCATACCAGTGTACAATGAACTAGTTCTCTAGATGGAGGCTACATTTAGTGCAGTGACACTGGATATACTGAACAGTTAGTTATAGAGTAGATGGAGGGCATTGCATTGTTTTGCAATTCAACACCTTCTTCCCTGTGTCATCAACCAGATATTATGAGGACCTCGGGCACAAGATAACACTTCTACTAGCAATGGAAATGGAATACATCCCATATGAAAAAAAATACTGGATATATGGGTCAGAGGACTACATGCAGTAAATCAGTTTCAGGGTTCAGATAACTGGTAAACTACTCGAGCATCACTTTTGTAGCCATCAAAGCCCTCAGCTGGATTAGTACTTTGTGATATAAAGCTCTACCTTTTGGATGCAGTAGCAGGATGGCAGGATGGTATATAATAACTGTGAATTTTACTTTTTTAAAAAGATAATGACTGCCTGGCTTGATTCACTCAGAGCAACATAACTTTCAAGTATCCGTCCACATCAACTCTGAACTATTTCTATTTCACCTTCTGCTTAAATTCCAATCTTTAATGCCATGACATATTATTCTTAACCGAATCTAAGGGGACTTGTTACCAAATATAAATTATTCACACTTCAGCTAGAAGCATGATCAGTTGATCTACTCTAAACAAGCAGTACATTAAGTTATTTGAAGCTATAATACTCAAGAGCTACTTAATACGTGGTCAACTTAATATCTGCTTGCTATCATGAATTAAATGCCTTTCATAGTTATATATATTTTCAAAGTGCATAGAAATCAGTTATTAGACATTGTGAAGCATTGGTTATAGCTTCACCTGCCCACGTCCAAATATTTGCTGTAGGAAATCTAGCACCAAGTGAATTCATTTGTTCCAAATGAAGATGGCCATCAACAGACAAAAAAATTGTTCTTGAATTGGCAGATTTTTTTTTAGATGAAATACAACTTAAAAAATACAATAGTTCTGTTTGACATCTGTTTTGAGTGTGAAACATGTTCCCTCACTGACAAAGTTCACACTAATGAGCAACAATTGCATGGAACCTAAAAATCAGGATGTACCGTATGCCTTCTCCTATCTGGTTAGGAAGCTACTGCAATGGTCTATTTTGAGCATCCACTCCAACAGTGGGCTGATTTATATAAAGCTCCATAGGGGAGAATGCAATTATGTTTAATATGTACACAACTATGGCTATTTAGGTTACTGTTACTGCATGTGGGTCTAGGTTGTTATATGCTGAATTCAGAACAAAGCAACTCTGAACCAGACTTACTNGGGGGTAGGGTAAGATTAGTTTCACCTTGGAAATGACCTATTTATTCTCTGTGGGGACTGAAACGTAGATGTTGATTCAGTGCTGGATGTAACTGAGATCTGGCAAGTGAGACAACCCAATAACATCACACTCTCCAGAATCCAACTGTTCAATAATTTACATACAACAACAATTTGCACTTATATAGTGCCCTCCACGCAGGGTAGCATCTCAGAGCGCTTAAATTTACATACAATAAATGCAGGCTCACAATACAAATACATGGCCACACCCAAACATTTACTGGGCACAATGCTTATGCTAAATAGGAGTACGTACTTTGGATCTAAAACAAATATGTATTTCAGTTTGTTCAATTGAAGAAATACCATAAACAAGCAATGTTATCTCCTACAACATGGAGTCAGCATTAATATCTAACAAGAGCATAATCATTGTGCAATTCAGAATCTATTTGGACAGAATGAACAGTCCGCTCTATATCCGTTTCTCTACAACAATCAAGTTGGCAAAATCTAAAATAAACATTTCGAAGATATGATGAAGTAGCTTCCATATGTACAATACTGTCAATCATACCATGCAAACCACTGATAATGACTACATCATTGTACCACTGGGGCAAAAAAAAGGGATCGAGTCTGATGACAAGACAAATGAGAAGAGACATTTGCTCGTAAAACCAATCCACACTGAATAATTTGATACCAATTGTCAACTTAATTTATGAATTACATATGCCAGAGGATTATTGTTCCTTTTTATTGGCAGCAGAAATAATTTTTCACCCTCAGATTAGTATGTGATGGAGTGAAATCACTTCTGCAATAACTTTTTGTTAAACTGAATTTCTCTCATCTGGAAAGCTGCACTACAGAAATGACAAATTATGGCACTTTACATAAACCATAAATCTTAAGAGTTTACTTTCAAAACATGATTTACAGAGGAAGACAGTCACACAATACCTCAGGAAACAAACCTTAATGTCATAAACCGGGCAAGTCATACTATTTATCCAAGAACACATACATTTATATGACATATAGTGGTACTTAATCTGATGGGAACCATCAAAATATCTTTTCAGAAATATTTATTTAGTTTACAATCTTCAAATAAGACTTCACTGACGGGGGACATATATTATTAGATAACAACGTGTACTTAAGCAAGCTCCTTTCACAAAGGAACACGTCCCAAAGAACTTTAAAGACAATTGGGGAGAAAGGACTGTTGAGCAGAAACAGTGTCTTTCTCAAATATGACAAACCAAAGATGTGGGAAGAATACATGTTTTTATAGCTTGGCTAGTGGGGCTCGTATGTGATTTAATCACACCAAAACCATTCAAATGTATACGGGTTACAAGAACACCAAGTTATTTTTATAAAGTGTTTTATTAGCTATTGGCTCAAATTAACTTTCCCACTTGCTGAATTTAAGCAGTTGAAGGGGTCAGGACCCGAGCATGGGGGAGGGGTGAAGGAAGACAGAGAGGTGGGAGAGCGACCGAAGGCACGATCGAAGAGGAGGGCCTTGAGACCGGCCTTGAAGGAGGCAAAGGAGGAAGCGAGGCAAAGGGACTGTGGGATGGAGTTCCAGAGTGCGGGGGCAGAAAGGCTGAACGCTCGGCCGCCGATGATACGGCGGGTCGGGCGGGAGACATGGAGCAGGCCGGAGCACGCTGAACTGAAGGAGTGGGCAGGTTGGTCTGGAGTCAGCATGTCAGACATGTAGGAGGGGGCAACGCCATGGATGGCCTTGAAAGTGAGGATGAGAATCTTGAATTCGATCCTCTGAGGGATGGGGAGCCAGTGGAGTCAGACGAGGGTGGGAGTGATGGGGTCACGGAGCCTGGAGTGCGAGAGTACACGAGCTGCAGAGTTTTGGATGATGGAATTAGATTTTGGAAATAGTCAAAAGATGCACAAGCTTAAATGAATCACAAGAATTTTGCAGTTTTTGACATGACAATCAAGAACACATGAAAATGTCAATCACAAGAGAGTAATTAATTAGATAGTGTTACATTCACCTCAATGAGTTACGTTACACTGTAATCACAATCAGGTTTAATGATGGTCAGAATATACAGCAATGCACAGTAACTTCGGAATACCTGAATTTATTAAAAAGACCAAATCTGTTTCACATGGTTGCATGGATATTTTCTTTCTTCTACTGAATACTAAAGGTTAGAAAGTAACACAGGAACATAAGAAGGTAGGAGAGAACATAATTCAGACCAACTTGCCTGCCTCACTGTTAAGATATGAGATCATTCAATTTCTACCCAAAAAATGTTCATCTTTTAAAAACTAACATCATACGTGTATTTATAAATTACACAACATGAATTTGTGTTATCATATTACAATCATAAAAGTTATAAAGATTGTATTAAATAAAATGAAATCATTCAACTTGTCTCAAATAAATAGACACACAAGGTCTTTAAAAACGTCACAAAATAATACCTGAACTTTGAAGAAATTCTCTCCAGTTGAATTTTTCACAAGGATTGGTCACAACACCTGGATGTCACAGAAGGGAACACCACACAGAAAACACAGAGCAAAAGAAAGTTAAAGAGAGATTACAACAGTTTAGTACTTTATATTCCAACTCGCTTCCACACTCTAAATTTAGGCAAGTCCCTTTTCACAAATTATTTCTAAATTTGTTGGCCCAAAAACAATTAAAAGTATAATTCATTGAATTTTAGGAGGAAACTTTTTTCGAAATTTATTATGAACCGAGTGACAAAAACAGGAACAAGTTAAACTGGTGGCAGGTTAGCCTGAATTCCAGCCTTTTCTGCCTGCATTTCACCTTGGGATAACTAGAAAGGATTTCAAACTTGCAGTTCTGCGATGCTGCAGCTCACCCCCTCACCGGAGAATTATAGCAAGCCACTGATAGCAGTCATGGAACCAATGTCAAGATTATCCCACCCTCCTTGGGCAAAAGTGTGAGCAATAAAGAGAGAGAGAATAAAGAGAGAAAATGGGAAGGAAGAGAAGAAAACAGAATTTAAAAACATTGTAATTTAGTATCTGCATTTTGCTTTAAAAAGTTACATTCTCCAAGCTTATTCTTTGTTCAAAATAAGCAGTTTTTCTTTTTGAAACTAACAACTTGAATTACAGGTAGCAAAGACAACCGTAATTCATGACATTGATCAGTTCTGCACTTACTAACTTTTTCACTTAACACTTAAATCTTGAGCGACCCCCTCATGAATTGGGGTCATCGATCAAACAGATGAACTGAAACTCTTCTGTGGTTACTGCCAACGAATAACGCAGAGATACACTTTACAAGTCGGTTTGCTGGCTCCCTTTACCCATGACAATGTAAAAATGAAATTTCCAGGACTTTGCACATCAATAGTGCAAGCAGTGTAGTTTCATTTGGTTTGTGAATTGCACTGGACAGGCATTTGTACAATGCAATAGAATAGAAGCTCTTTGCAAATCATATTTTCAGTCAGTTAGCTTTTACTTTTGGAAAGGCAGGACACAAATTGATTTAACAATTCCTTTTCAATTCTAAAATGAATACTGAAATGTTCTCATGCATACAGAGACTTTTAAAATGTTAAAAGTGAAAAAACAGCTGTGTTATGTTGTACAATACTTCATCTTGATTATTAAGGTGTGAAAAATGTCTACATAAGTAACCAATCTTAGTTGGAGTTAAATGTGGATTTAATGTTTTTGCATTTTGTAAGTTCCACTGAAAAGTACCTTGGTGCTCAGAATCCTCATTATTGGATGGTATACCTTTGTGCTTGAAATGTGAGAAAAGTGTGGGCAGAAAAGGTGGGAGGTATCCTAATCAGAATGGCATTTTCAGGCAGATGAACAGTGACAGCTATTCACTGCCTTAAATACAGACACATGCACAGACAGACGCAAGAGTTAAAGTACTGAAGCAGACTCAACTGTAGCACACAAGCAAGTTTAAATGCAAAAAATACATTGGCCAAATGTAAAATGGACGCTTACACAAACTTGGGAGACAGTATCACACTTCTGGCTGAATAACTCTCCTATATTGAATTATTTGTTTTCAGTATTACCATCAAAAATCATAAACTCAATCACTAAAGAATGACATTTGACACCGTTCCCACTGTAGTATTTGATCCCAATGTTATGGCAGGAGCCATTTTNAAAAAAATCAAAATGAGTATCTTCAATGAAAGAGTTAAATGAAGGAAATGTTATAAAAGAAACACTTCATCCCGATTCTTGTAAATTCCCTTTGAGCACAATGGAAATTTCAATAACCCAGATTACATTTTGATACAATAAGAAACAAAAGAAACTATAGAGTCCAGTGAGCATTCTATATAGTTAAAGCATGCATTTAATAACCCTGAAATTAAATTTGTGATCTAAAACGATTTACACTTTTAAAAGCCCCAGTAGTACGTTATACTATGTGCATGCAACAGGCAACAAAAGCATAAATTGCACAGCACCATGCAGACAAGGCCACCAATCCTGCAATATGAAGCAGTTTGCAAACCTTACCTTGAGGCTGTACATGTATCTTACTGCTAGCGAATTGCTTAAAAATAGGAAACAAAATACAACATGAACTACATACTCTAATGGTTCACATATCACCTCTTCCATTCACCATTAAAATGGAAGCTTTGTGAGAAACCAAGAAGGTCTTAATAGCAAAGGATGGAAAAATGTTTTCTGGTCTTCTCAACGACTAAGCCTTTACATGGAGACCATGCAGAGCACTCTCCTATAATTGACTAACAGAGCTTAAGGGTAGAGTGATGCTCAGAGTGAAGTAGTCACGTTAAGTTTGGCCCAGCCTCTCTGATATCATAAACTTTCTTTTTCTGATGCTGACTGACTCGCTGTGCATTTCATGTTTTTATTTCAGCCTTTGTACAGTTGTGGAAGGGCTTCGTCTGGACTATTATATTACCAAGGAATATATTCCACCAGTCAAATGCATTAAGTAACAAAGAGAACACAGCAATACAACAATACTGTCTGCAGTTAAGGATTCTTTCACGTTGCTATTATTCAGCTTTTGTTCAGTATATAAAAGTTAGCTCTATCAAAAAATGCCTTTGGCACTATGTATTCAAGATAAACATTGCTGAGACAGCTGATCTTTCAATAAGCCAATAAATCTACTTCAATTTTGTGTTATTGACAGCTGAAGTTAATACATTAAAACTGCATGCTTTTATAAATTAGATGCTTTACAAAGGATGCCAAATATTGCTTTGAATTAGTCTTTAAAGTAGAGTGAAGTACTCCCAGACTGCTACAAATCCAAATCAGAAGCATCGTTATCTCAAATTGGATTGAGTGTGTTTCAAAACCCAAATCTCAAACTTTGGTGCTTCAGGGCATTCTGCATGGGAGAGTTTAACAATAAAGTACATTTTACTGTGAAACCAAAAGCTTGACTATTCAAGAACATGGCTGCAATACAAACTTTAGAGTTATAAGCTGGTTTGCAATAAAACGTTTGTAAAAAGAAGTCTTGTTTATTTATATTGCTGGAGGAGCAGATCAGCTTAAAAACAGGGAGGAGGATTTATACCTCCTCGCCTACTCACTCTCACCTAGGCTGAGGAAAGTAATATGAAGCTTATGTGAAGAGCCTTTGCAGCAGTACAATAAATAGATTGCAGGATTATGGAGGGTAAACAGACAGTTAAGCATGCCCAATGTCAATATATCTAGTGAGAGTAAGTAGGTGGGTCAATTACTTCTGTTTGTTCTACCTTCCTTTTTCTTCCATAATCTATTTTTATTAAAACTTTTCCCAATTCCACAAAGCCCCATCAGAAAGCAACTTTACTTCTCTTAACCGAGTTTTCCCTCTGTCAGCCAGATCCTGTTTCATGCACATTTTGTGAGGAACAATCAGAAAACTGGCGTCTCAATGGCTGTAAAATAGATCCATTTATTGTGTTTACAACTTGTCATAACGAGTTGTAAAGAACAACATGATCACATCACAGAAACAACCAGATCAATTCTTTATATCTTATGGATGATTGTATAAATTGGAATGAGTCCATGATGATAAAGTACATGTCATCCTTTCCAGACAGTTTTTCAAGACTTTCTTTCAGCAGTAGTTTTGGACATGTGGATTCTTGTACTCTATAAAATGAATTTGTAATAGATATCCCTGAAAATTGCATTATGCCAAAAAACAACTTGCTGCATACATCTCATACAGGGAGTATACACAGATGCAGTTCACGTAGAATTTAATGGAAATAAGGTTTGACAATGCTGATACCAACTCTTGAATGACACATCATTTACATTGCTGAGCTAAAACTACCCATCCCATTCAGGCCGTTACTTTACTATATCTTGGCCACATTATTTATTATTGCTTCTGGAGTGCTGTAAAACAATTATATGGCCTGCACTGCGAAGTGTTTATTACAGTTCTTTATAATATTAATATCAATATAAATAATGAAGCTTCCAATCCAGTCATTAAAAAACATCTTACTCTAAAGACCTGCAATTCCTGGAACAAGTATAATTATTATCAGTTTTCAAGACCACTTAAACTAAATCAAAGTTTTCAAAATTCTGTAAAAATTACATTTTAGTGCAGTGAAGGTGCTGCAATCATCCTTTCCTGTAGGCTTGGGAAAATGAAGATCAGCCAGGGCTTAGTTACTCTCCCTCCATGGTTGAATGAATCGCTTCAGCTGATTGTGTATTAACACATGAAGAGTGTGTGCTTGGATGAAGCACTGGAAGGCTCTCAGGAAACCAGATCCTTAACCATAACCTCCCGGAGGGGATGGGAGAGATTTGGAGTTGGAGGGGAGAAAGGTGGGGGAGCGTGTAAATCAAATCACAAGCAAAACCCACAAAACATTCTTTTTGTCAAAACACAAAGGTATCATTGGTGTAGCTGATACTATTGTTACCGCATGTAAAATGAATGTTTCGCATCAGATATCTTAAAGGGTAGAACCTCATAAGCAAGGGAAGCAAATCATATGCCAGCACTCACGGTGGAAACAAATCTACAGAAAACTGATTGTGTGTCAAAATCATTTAATTTTAAAGTTATTACTCTGCCTTATATTGGGTTCAATTTTCTGACATAAAAAAAAGCTTGATAATATTTGCTTTTAGAAAACAATTCATTTTAACTGGGCAATGGGATCATTTTTGTATCTATCCTAGTAATAAAAATATTTGCGAATTATAAGAAAGTTGGATTTTAGCTCTTGATCTAACATACTATAAGCTTACAGAAATAATCATAAATATGCGGTCAAAGTTACAGTATAAGGACATTTACCAAAATGCATATTACTTAATTGCTAAAACAGTGTATGGTTCCCATGGTGTAATTGGTTTGGTTAAAAATCACACTTGCATCGAATTGCACGCAATACAAAAACATACCCAATGTAGTTCTGCTGTTTTCTTTAACTGGTCTGTGAAAGCCACCAAAAACCTGACAATTAAAAAGAGGGTTTCAGTGAAGCTGGTAGAATGGTTTCACAATGACAAGTTGCTTCATTATGATCAATATATATGTCGACATATTAGGATAAAAGAACTTTAGAAAGTGTCAAACAATCCGGGAAAACAAAAAAGTAGAAAATGGAGAAGAAAATTTAACAAATGAAAATACACTGCAGACAGCTCTGATGTTAATAAAAATTCAAGTTTAAGCATCTCTCCAGGGAGCTGTCTACAGGAAGGCATCAGGAAACTATTTAATCAAATTGTTTACAGGGCAGATAACTCCACTAATAAACCCAAAAATATTGAAAAAAATTCAACAAATGACCAGTAGATGTCAATACAAAGGCATAAAGGCAAATCACTATTGTTCCCTCGCTGAACTATAATAATAATAATCCTTGCATTTGATATAGCGCATTTCACGTCGGGAGGACGTCCCAAAGCGCTTCACAGAACATACTGTAAAGTGAATTGACTGTATATTTGTGGGCGAACGCGGCGGACAATTGCGCACAGCAATGTCCCACAAACAGTCGTAGATTGAAAATGACCAATTTATTATTGCTTTGTTTTTTTTGGAGGGATTATTATTAGGCGTGTGGAGTAAGGAAACTTGCCCAAGGTTTCGCCCTCTGCCTGGAATTGAACTCAGGTCTCTCACTTGCAAAGCGAGTGCTCTAACCACTGAGCTACAGGACTCCACCTCTGAACCTCTGAAGAGTAAAATAATTTGTCTTGCTTGCAAAACCCAATCTTATCTACTATGTCTGCTTTAAAACTAACCTTCTCCAGCACTGCCGAATAGGGAGGATTTTAATCAGGCACAACATTATCTGAATTAATGAAGTATCGTTTGTTGGTGAAACAGTATTATTCAGGCACTCAGTACAGGTCTTGATGGAAAAACATGGGCCAAGAAAACATTCACTTTAATTATGAACAGTCCATTTTTATGAATACTAGAATCTCAGTCTCTTAGCAGATGTTCACTTTCTATGGGGTTTTGCATTAATTGACATATACCATATGGATACTTATTCTGCAAGCAAGGCTAAATATAAGGCTAATAAGGAATTTTTGGTTAGCCGGGTGTCTGACACATGCAGAAACCCATCACCATTGGTTTGCAGGGTTAACAGGATTTAACAGGAGCTGAGTGGGAGGATTCCCTGCCCGCAGTGACTGGTTGCCCTGACAAGTCCTATCTATGAGCCAGGCTGGCTGTGCTGGCCTCAGCTGTGCTTAGTTATTATTTGTCATGAAGTGCTGAGGGATCAGAATCTGTGATGGAAGAGGAAGAATAGCTATGTGATCTATGGAGTAAAATTGTAGCTTTCACTCTCAAACACTAAATAAATTAATACTATTTCACAGCTGGATTCTCTAATGGAAACTCTGCTTTGCAGCATTATCATAGAATCATAGAATTATACAGCACGGAGGGAGACCATTCGACCCATCGTGTCTGTGCCTGCTCTTTGAAAAGAGCTGTCCAAGTCAATCCCACTACTCCGCTCTCTACCCCACTATAGCCCTGCAAACTTGTCCTACCCAAATAATTATCTACTTCTCTCTTAAAAGTTGTTATTGAATAGGCTTCCACTACCCTCAGTCAATGCATTCCAGATCCGAACTCGCTGTGTGAAAAAAATGTCTCCTCACGTCCCCTCTATTTCTTTTAACAACTATTTTAAATCGGTGCCCTCGGGTTACCAACCCACCACTAGTGGAAATAGTTTCTCCTTGTTCACCCTATCGAATTCCCTCCTAATTTTGAAAACTTCTATTAAGTCTCCTCTTAAACTTCTCTGCTCCAAGGACAATGATCCTAGCTTCTCTAGCCTCTCCTGATAACTGAAGTTCCTCAATACTGGTACCATCCCAGTAAATCTCCTTTGCACCCTCTATAATGCCTTGACATACTTCCTCAAGTGTGGTGCCTAGAACTGAACACAGTACTCTAGCTGAGGCCTAACCAGTGTTTTATAAAGGTTCATCATAACTTTCTGACATTTGTATTCTATGCCCCGATTTATAAAGCCTAGTAATCTGTATGCTTTTTAACAGCTTTATCTACCTGACATCTCACTGCAGTCATCAGTATGGCCTCTGTGAGCGAGATTATTGCTGTAGTGCATATTTCACGTGGAAGAAAGTTTCCCAAGACCAATCCCCAGCCTCTAAATTAATAGACCAAGAAAACTATATTGCAGTCCCTCTTTATTAAAGCTAAATCAAGCTCCAGGTAGACTCAGTTATATTCACTGGGAGGGGGGGGTGTGTAAGCTTTGATGTTACCTGGCTTTTTGAAGCACAGCACGCATGACTTTAGATTTCTTTTCATCCTTGATATCTTCATTGATATCCGTTCCACCAAATATAGCTCCAAATGGAACGCTGCTCTCTGGAAAAAGTGAAAGTTTCAAATTAAATTTCATCTTGTTACAGTATTTCTTTCAAGTTCTGACCCGAGGATTCAAAATCTGCATTAGACAGTTAAGTAGAAAACAGTTCTTCCATTTTCCTCTTTTTTTTAATTTTAACTAATGGAAATATTACAAAACAAATGAGTATATGGGAGAACTGTATTAAGAGTTGTATCTCCATGCCACTGCATAGAGGAGATCTTATTCTATAATGAAAATGCTTGTCACTGGAGTGACTACACTCCTTGGAATCTCATCACATAACTCAGCACTTTCACATGTATGTAAAATATCATTACAAACTGAAATAAATAAGGTCAGGATCAAGGTTGTATGATATTCAGAAGCAATCCGTGGCTTTTGTACAATTATTTGGAGATCATAAAGTTAGGTTTCAAAGTAGAGCAGTTTTTAAAGAAATAAATGTAAGTAGTTAATTAAGTACATATTAGGAGGTTTGACATTTGGTTCTTTAAACCTGGTTTCCTAATATTGGAAATGAATAAACTAGACCAGGAACTCTAGTCAAAGGAGCAATTTGTGCCCCCTATGTGTTTGTCCGTCTCTCATTTTAAACTTGATTTATTTTCCCCATTAGAATACTGAACTTTTGTTAGAATTGTGCTTGGCTCAGCCTGCCTGGTGTATTCCAAATCTGCTGAACTGACCTATAAACACATTAGGAGAGCCACTAATGAATCATTGTTCAAACTTATGCAGCATAATTGACGCGTATTAAACACCACTGTTAGCAAGTGGAAAGAACACACAAAACAGATTCGATACGAACTGGATCGGTGCACATTGCAGGTCAGTTTATACAAACATGCACATTTTTGCTGAACTAACCATTCAGATTGTCTTTGATGAATGAATGGCCTCTGTATTCCTTTATGGTTGGTTATTGTGTGAACACTTTCACATGTTCTTTCCAAATCATTTATTCTTTCCTAGATTTACTACTTTTCTACTTTTTCCTCCTTGCCGTTTTTAGTCTACACCTGTTCTTTTCTAAGGCAACATCTTTCTAGAATATTTCTTTCAAAATTCAATGACATTAACACTATGAGGGAATTTAATTACCTCCCTTTTGTAAAATTAATCTCTCAAACTGTGACACTGTAACACCTCTCTCCCACCCACAGGCAAACTTAAAAGAAAAGAATAAAATAATGATAAAGAAATCATTGAACAAACTTTAAAAAAAAAGTTGCTCAGCTCTGCACGGGAAGGACTGCTCTTTGAAGTCCTTTGCAACATTAGACTTTCACTCCTTTGAGTTAATTATCCAGCAGTGTAAATAAAGGATCATCATTTCCTACACCTCAAGGGCTTGCATGATACTTCCTCCAGTGAGATCAAAAAGCTTCAGTTTTCTCAAGCACCTGATAATCAATTAAGCCAAAGATAATATTCTCTAGTTATGAAACAGGAACATAGAATCATAGAATCTTACAGCACCGAAGGAGTCCATTTGGCCCATCGTGCCTGTGTTAGCTCTTTGAAAGAGCTATCCAACTAGTCCCATTCCCCCACTCTTACCTCATAACCCAGCACATTTTTTTTCCTAGTCAAGTACCTATCCAATTCCCTTTGGAAAGTTATTATTGAATCTGTTTCCACCACCTTTTCAGGTAGTGCATTCCAGATCATAACAACTTGCTGCGTAAACAAAGTTCTCCTCGTCTACCCTCTGGTTCAGTCAATCCTACTCCGTGTATATCCGTGTATAACAGGGGGAGGCTATTCGGACTATCAAGTCGGTGCTACCATTTTATTAGATCATGATAGATCCTTAAATCCCAGTTTTGTGAGTTTTCCCAATATCCTTAAATATTTATCTTTCCCAACTATGTCCTCATCTCGCTTTTAAAAATCTCAATCGGGACAGAGCACTCCACATTCTTACAGCCCTCCTTGAAGAAATGTGAAATTGAGCTCAATATCAGGCCATCCTGCTTGGCTCCCGTCAATGCCTCCTCGCATCAGGCGCTGATAGCACCACTATTCACGGAAGCACTCTCCACCTCACCAAACCAGTATGGAATTTTGGTGTCTTGTTCGACCCTCAACCATCCTTTAAATCCCACATCTGTGCCATGACCTTCCCCCCTTATTGATTCAATTCTTCTAGTTTAATTGATTTAATCAGATTTTTTTCTTCAATTTATTTTCAAGAAGCTAAAACAAGGAGTTGTAAGATTCTGACCATGTGACAATGCATATTTATAAACATTTATGTAGCACCTTTCACATCAGGTGGATGTCCCAAGGTGCCTAAAACACTGCTTTACACTGGATACACTGCTGTGTAAAATTCAAATTACAGTATATATACATTCCTACTGAATATTAGTTGAGCTCAGTCTTACTCAATCTTCCATAATGTATCACATACTTTTTCAGAAAAGTAATAAACTCCTGGAGATTTACTGAAATCAAATTTATGCTTAAATTTAATCGGCAGTTTGTCATTTGTAATGCAATTTTTTACGCAACTTTTACAAAATTGAAACCTGGTACTGCTTTCTATAATGCAAGAGCTCCCATACCTAGTAGCAGTCTTCCTCCTTTGTAGAGATGGATGACCAACCCTGCTTCAAATTTTTCCTTAGAGATTAACTCTGAAACCTGAGAGGATGATTTAAAATCTGCAACATCTCTCAGAACACAGATGTGACCACTGTCTTGTATATATTCTCTGCAGAATAAGACAAAATCAAATTACACTGAATTCTAGTTGAAGGTTTTATTTTCCTAGGTAAACAGAATATTCACAAATTACAGTGTTGAAGAAAAATTTGCATACCCAAAGATTGTTTAGAATGCAAAATATGAAGCAATTCCCAGGTTATTAACTTATTGGAAGAAATGAAATTGCAAGTGAAATAAATTTCATTAGTTATATCATATTTCAAGTCATGAAATCTATAGTACCACAAAATCCCCCAGTGTGAGAACATAACTTAGCTACCGAAACTCTCTCAGTTACTGTTTATATTGAATCTGCATAAGTTAATGGGTCAGTCATGCAATCATCTGTCTCTGTTCCTTACTGAGGTTAGTGACTTCCTCCATGCTTCAGTCAGGAAATACAAATGTATGCATACTGACATGGAACAGAAAGATCCCTTGTAATATGGCAGTTGGGCATGCAGAGGGGTGCTGTTAATTATCTAAAGTTTCACTGAACATTTGGCGAGAGGTTAAGAAAGAAAAAGCAATTTTCCATGCCTGAACACTATTCAGTGATTCAATGCTGGCAAATACACGTGTGAACTGGATCAAACTCTGATGGAAGGTGTGTGTGCAAGGACTTTCCAGCGCCTTGGGGTGTCCTCCCGACGTGAAAGGCGCTATACAAATGTAAGCTTGTTGTTGTTGTTGTTGATTGAAATACAATTGCAGATCTCACCATTCACAGTCACAAGGTGAAACCACGTCCATCAGGATTCTGCATCAGATGGTTGTGAGTTCAAGGCCCAAATTTGATAAGAGAAGAGTTTCTCCTGTGCTCTGCTTAACAATACTCCAAATTAATGGGTCATTCACCTCATGGTTGTACATGGTACCTTGATGTTGCAAGTTTGCGTACAAAACTCACTCCCCTTGACAGTATTTATACGTGAAGTCCTTTGAGATGTTTCGCTATGATACTATTTCATTTTTTCTTAAAAAAGCAAGTTAGTTTACTGATGCAACATGCCAGTAGGATGCCACATGTCCAACCTTTTCTTCCCTTTTGATGTTAACGTGATACAATCAAAATCAAAGCAGTGCAACAGGAAAAGGAACATACTATTCTAGACCAGTCTGTGTTAACTGCTCCCCTAAGCGGTTTCAATCCTGAAAAGAAAATATTAGAATTGAAAAGTCTGAGCAATTTGCAGATCAAAGGTCCAAAGTTCAGGACAGCTAAAGTAAATTAAATACAAGCTGATGCCTTCATTTTTCTCTCCACCGTTTCGGATAAGAGCACTAACCTCCAATACATTGACATGTTTCTGACCTGATGAGGTTAATAAACATGTTGTAACTCGGGGAATAGGCAAAGAGTATGGAAGGACTGCGAAACGTATGAAGACACACGAAAAGAGAAATAGAAAAGAAATTCCCTTCCATCGTCCATAGAAGCTAAAATAAAAACCAGTTACTATCGACGGTAGAGGAAATCTACCTGATAGCTACTGCAGTAACTGGACTGTTCAAACTTCCTCCCCCAGAGGAGGGAATGGTCACTAAAAATCCAAGGCGACACGAGTGCGTATTCTTTGCGCGCTCGCTTTGCGCGCCCGAACGCAAGTGCTTATTTTCTTTAAAAAAAAGTAAGAAAAAGGGTGAAAGGCACATGCAACAAAGTACCAGGAAACTACATATAAAAAAAGAAAAGGGAACTGCGGTATGACCAAGTGTTTCAAAAGAAAACTGGTCAAGTTCCTGGAAATTAAAAATAGGATTGATCAGAAAGAAGTGGTTGGAGTGTGGAAATCCCCCCCTCCCTCCCTCCTCTCCTCCCCATCACAAAGAAAGTTGTTTGAAGAAGAGTCCTTTCTTTTTGGAAGGGAAATAAGATAAGTTGGATGAGAAGAGGAATGTGAAATAAAGGAGCGAGGGACCGGGCTCGTTGGGAGGAAGCCGGGGCTTCGATGAATTAAACAATAACAATAATAATCCTTGCATTTGATATAGCGCTTTTCACGTCGGGGGAGGACGTCGTCCCAAAGCGCTTCGCAGAACACACCGTAAAGTGAATCGACTGTGTATGGGTTTGTGGGCGAACGCGGCGGCCGACTGCGCGCAGCGGCGTCCGATTGAAAACGACCAATTTATTATGGTTTTGGGGGGTGTTTTTTGGGGAGGGGGTTATTATTAGGGCTGTGTGTGTGTGTGTGTGTGTGGAGTAAAGGGAACCTGCCCGGGGTTTGGCCCCTGACCGGCCTGGGATTGAACCCCGGGGTGTCTCGCCACTCCAGTGCTCTTAACCACTGAGCTGCGGGGACTCCCGCACACGGCCCTGTTTCTGCGATTGCAGCCCTCCGTGTGGTTGGGATGGTTTTTTTTTGTGTGTGTGTGTCAGTACATTAATAGGTAAAATAGCCGTCGAATGCCCCGCAGACGTTATCAAACACGCGGGTGGCGGTGCTCTCCGGTGGAGGTCGGGCTCCAGGTGAGGAAAGAGCACTCCCCCCCCCACCCACCCCCCCCCCACCCACACAGCCTCGGTGTGCAGCGCCTCTCTCACCTGATCCTCGCCGCCGTCGTGCAGTTGCCGGTGCTGGGGCTCAGGCAGGCGAGGAACAGCAGCTTCATCCCGGGGGGGGGGGGGATGAGGTGACGGGGAAGCCGGTGATGGGGAAGCGAGGGGGCGCTCTCCTCTCTGCCTCACCTCCCCCCCCCCCCCCACTCCTCCTTCCCTCCCCTCCTCCCCTCACGGCCACTGCCCCAACCGTCAATCACACCCCCGCCGCCGCCTTCTCCTCCGCGCGCGCACCCAACCGTCACTCGCACCCCCTCCCCCCGCGCGCGCGCGCTCCCAACCGTCACTCGCACCCGCTCCGCGCGCACGTGCGCGCGCCCAACCGTCACACATCCTGCTCCGCGCGCGCTCCCAACCGTCACACATCCCCCTCCGCGCGCGCTCCCAACCACCTCTCTCCCCCCCCCTCAACCGTCACTCTCCCCCTCCACGCGCGCGCCCAACCGTCACACCCCCTCCACGCGCGCTCCAACTGTCAAAGCCACGCCCCCCCCCCCTCACCTCACCCACCGCCCCACTCCGGTGCTGATAACCAACACCCTCGAAAGTGTGGCGTCGCACTCCGGGGGGTGAACGCTGAGCGATTTTTTTAAAAAATATATATATAATCTCTATAATTAATACTAAAAAAAAACCCTCCGCGAGAGGTGGGAGGAACGTCAAAAGGGCGGTGGGTGGGACGGGCTTCCCCGCGAGGAGGAGGTCAAGGGGCGGGTGGTGAGAGCGTCAGCGATCAGGCGCTGTAAACATCACGCGGTTTGGCGGGTCGGTCGCTTTTATTTCAAATTAATTTGAATTTGCTTTACCCCCACTATCCCCGAACCCCTCAAAAAAAAGTTGTAGGTGTTTCTCTCCCCCTCCCTCCCTCCCTCCCCCGCCGCCCCCCCCTCCCCCATCCCCCCATCCCCGCACCCGCGTTAAAAATGGGAAGCCGCGAGGAGAAAAGGCCGCTGCTCCGCCGCGAATCCAGCAGCTCGGGCTCGGCCTTCGAGGGCCGGCGGTTGGCCTGCGCCGCGGTGCTGGTGAGCGAGTCCCTGGAGAGAGCGGCCTTCTACGGCATCACCTGCAGCCTGGTGCTTTTCCTCAACAGCGACCCGTACTTCTGGCTCGGGACCGAAGCCAGCCAGACGCTGCTCATCTTCATGGGCATCAGTTACCTGGTGTCGCCGTTCGGCGGCTGGCTGGCCGACGGCTGCCTGGGCAAGTTCCCCGCCATCGCCCTGAGCATGGCGGTGTACCTGGCGGGCATGCTCCTCTTCCCCTTCCTCTCCTGCGAGTCGACCAGGAGCGGCCTGTGCGGGGAGTTCAGCAGCTTCCCCATCTTGGACCGTCGGTGTTTCGACGGCAACAGTACCGGCACCGGCGAATGCTCCTTCCGGCGGAGCAGCTATTGCGCACCGGTCGTCTACCTGGGGCTGGTCCTGGTGGCCCTGGGGGTTGGATCCCTCAAGGCCAACATCACTCCTTTCGGTGCAGATCAGGTATTCGATTTGGTCACTAAACCGCCCACTTTCGCCCACAACGTAGAGTCGATTCGCTGTGCAGCACGTACTGTGTGTGATAAGCTGCGAAATCGCAGGCCAGGGTTATTATTAATATGCCTCGGGATCTTAAACTACCTCCACTTGGCCACAGACTTTTAGGTGGGACAAGACCAAACTTTCCCTTCGCAAAAGTCTTGAGTTTCTTTGACAGCACTTGGGGTCAGGTGAATGTGTTTTTTAAGCCCCCTTTTTGGGGGACTTCAAGCCAACTAACTCACTGTGTGTGTGTGTATATATATATATATATATGAGGGTGATAATATTTTTTATAAAAAGGAGAGGGTGGGGGGAATGGTCTCCTCAATGAGGCACTGGGCTTATGCCATTGTTGATGGTTTCAGTTCATGAAGTCAGAGCAATTTGAGTTTTATCACTTTGGTAACATACATACTGTGCTTCCAAAGCGGAGAGCTTTCTGTCTGAGGAGTTGCCAACCATGACTACTCGTTCAGGTGAAAATTTAAAAATCCTGTGACACTATTGGAAAAGTGAAGGGAATTTCTCCTCATGCCTTGACCTCCTGATCAATCTGGAGGTGTACCTGTTCTCTCGATGTGCACTTGTTTGTGGGACATTGCTATGTACAAATTGCTACTACATATAATTCTAAATACCGTAACTACACTCGACACCAGAAGCACTTTGAGATGTTTTGACTGTCCAGTATATGTAATTCAATGTTATTCTGCTATAATACCTGTAATTGTCAAGAAGCATTATTTTTTTCTACAATTGTAATCTCTATATTTTTATAGAGTTTTTTTTAAGTTGCAAGTCCTAGTAACTGTGAAATATAGCCCCGCAGTTGTTGTTTGGAAGTATGTAACCAAAGTGGTAAACTCAAATTGCTCAAACTTCATGAACTAAAGCCATTGATAACTTGCAGTTTTTAAAGTTTAAATGAATCTAATCACAAGATCATGTTGGAAAATTTGGCAACAAAATTGGTACACTGTCTCAATGGATATTTTATTCTTGAGTTTATCATTTAAGAAATGGCTCAATGCTGTCATTAAGGGTAGTAGGGTGGGAATTCTAAAGGTATGAGGTCAGAAGTGCCAAAGGATCTTCTTCATCCCAACTAATCTTCTGTAATTCAATGTTATTCCGCTATATTACTTGTAATTGTCAAAAAAAATCCACAAAAACCAGAGCACTCTGAGTGGACGTGCTTATTCGATGAAGCTTTAATGGAGTGACTTTGAAACATTTTTGCAAAGAGCTGCTTGAATACAAATATAGTAATTTTGGATGGATCTTGTGAGTTCTAGTGCATGCACTTTAGTTACTGCATCTACCCTTTTAGAAGTCTGCAAAGCATGTGTTTAACGGAGGCTGAAAGGAGGAGTAATATGATGTTTTCCCAATCCTTAATTTTCTACTCCGGTGAAGCAGGCTATTGGCTGATGCAAGTAGCAGCTGCAATTTTAAAAAGTGACTGATTTCCTTTCACAAAATTGTGTTTTTTTTAAAAAACGTTATACCTATTTTATTTTAATTTCTTAGAACCTTATTTTGACAGTCATACTTGATCCTCAGTGATTGGTGCTGCATTGGGAATGGCATCTCAAAGACTTGTTTGTGCTTCTTGTTTTTAGAATACACTGATCTTATGACAATCATGTGTTTAACTTGATTTCATAAAGCGAGTAGAGCACTTTCAGGGTATCTAAACCTATTGAACCAAAACAGAACTGAAGTACATTTTCTAATTGCTGGAACACTTGTATTAGTGTTTCTTAGCAGGGAAAAGGATGTTTCTTTTATTTGTGTACCATTTAATAGTTTTACATTGTATTATTAAAGCTCTATCTGAAGCAGGAAGATAATTCAGCATTCATGGCTATTGACACAATTGTTTTCAATATGGGATTAGCTTGAAATTTAGATCTAAATATTTTTTACAGCCAAAGTAAAATAATAGAACTGAGTCCATATCCTTTTCTCAGAAACTGTTCTGGTAAACTGGGTTGGTGAAGATGGAGAACACTGCTCTTCTATGCTGCTATTCATATGAGATATTCAAGTTCTTTCTCCAATAATACTTTTTAACCAAACCCAAAAATGCGTTTGAGTGGCAAAATGGGTTAACGCAGTGTTCATTTGCCAATGCCTATGATACAGTATTGACTGGTGAGATTTGGTTGTAGTAGGTGCTGTGTGAATAAGATTGATTTGTTATAACATCCTCTGTGAAAACATGTCAAGGTGCTTTGCACCATGAGTTACTTTGAAGTTTAGTGTCTGTTGTGTCGAAGGTAATGAAGCAGTTTATCTGTGGCAGCACAAGCAGAAATGACCATTTTGATCTGATTTTAATGATTTTAGATAAGGGAGAAATATGGACAGGACAGTGGAGGAACTTTGAAATTGTGCATTGGGTTCTATTTACATTGCCATGAATTGCAAGAACAGACAGAATCTGAGTTAATATCTTACTCCAATACTGTGACTCCTCAGTTGTGCTTTGATTTATGGGTAGTCTCAATCCACAGCATAAAAGTCCCTAATTTGGCGTGCAGTTGGCAATCTCAGTGAGACCACAAGGCCTAATGTGGGAAGTAGAAATGTCACATTGATGCAGTATGTAGTGCTCTTCTGAGGCTAGGGCTAAGACGTTCCAATGCTGTGCAATCCTTGGAGCTTTATGCTGCATCTAACTCATTCTGTGCATGAGCTGCGAATGCTTGGTACTAGGTATATTAAGTGAAAAAAAGTGTTTTTTTCTTACCACTTACATCCTTCATCTTGAAAGTACAAAATCCCTTTAATCCTCTTAACTTTCTATAGGAAGATTTGATGTTCAATAGAAAGTCCCATTCTGAATGGATTTAGTGTTTCACAGCAGGTACAGAATAGTTTTAGATGATATCACTATACCTATTATGTAGTTAGCTGGTTTACTGCAGAACCTTCACCTTAGAGAATCTTCAAGTCTACCCACAATCTTGAGTTTGCTTTAATTCCAATAACAATTAGCAATTGACCAATGTTTAGGAGTAACTTGTGCAGTTACTCTGTTAAATGCTTCCAGTGTCATTTGAAAGAAAATCTATCAACTATGTTTTGTTATGCAGTGCATTATAATATGGTCCTGTTTGTTGTATATGTGGTATGTAGGTTGCTTCCAGCTGGTCATGAAATGTTTCACATTTTTTATTTTAGGTGAAAGACCGGGGTCAAGAAGCTACTCGTCGTTTTTTCAACTGGTTCTATTGGTCCATCAATTTGGGTGCAATTGTCTCATTGGGTGGCATTTCATATATTCAACAAAACTGTAGTTTTCTCCTCGGATACATCATCCCAACCGTTTGCTTGGGAGTCTCTTTCCTCATCTTCCTGTGCGGAAAATCGGTCTTTGTCTCAAAGCCACCGGATGGCAGTACCTTCTCAGACCTGTTCAAGATTCTGTCTTATGCATGTTTTTCAAGAAAACAAAGCAATGAACAAGTAAATGTCAGGTAACGATGAGAATATTTCTTAGACGTGTATGTGTTCGTTTTAAATACTTTTCTAGTTGTTGGATGATTGACCCTTTTATTTAGCGTACTTCTTCGGAAGTATAGTTAGCATTATGTTAAAAGTAGTTTAAAGTACTCCGCTATAAGTCATGCTGATTTGTACAAATGTAGCTGAAGAAAACAATTTATTGAAGGGATTAGCTGTTTAAATACTGCATTGTAAACCTACAGCATTAAACATAACATTTGTTTTGCTGTAATTGCATGTTTTGCTAGTTCCAATATGATATAATCATCTTACTTTGTTGCTATTGAAGAAATATTGTGAATTTGTCAATTTGTTTCAGCCACAGCCAAAATGGGATCTACCCACCAGCTCCTCAACCAAGCTTTTTGGATTTAGCAAAGACAATCCATGGTGGTCGATTCCCAGAGAATAAGGTGGAGGATGTGAAGGCTTTTGCCAAAATCATTCCAGTCTTCCTAGCTCTAATTCCCTATTGGACAGTTTATTTCCAGGTCTGATATTATTTTGTTTGTTGCTTGTGGATGATGTATTAATCCTGCTAAATATTGGTTAATATTTGAAGTAAGAGTTGTTCATTTATACCTTTGCAGAATGCTTGAAATATTAATGCGCCATACACAGTTAGGATTTGTGGAAAGGAAAGCAGTGTATGTAACTAATTCATTTCCATCTCCTTAGAATATTTTCTTTTCCTTTATAGATGCAGACCACATACGTTTTGCAGAGTCTGCACTTAGAGATCCCAACATTTTTTAATAAGAATTCTGGAAACGTAAGCACCTCATTCCTGAGTTGTGATCATAAGGTAAGATGCTATTCTCACCAAAATTTTAGATTGCTTGATAAGGTTGGTGCTACTGTAATCCTTTCTATACTCTGTATTTGTTTTATGTTCATTTGGTTTCCAAGTTGCTTTTCTTTTTATAAAGGTACGTTAGTGAGCATTACTGCTTATCCATACTTGTTGCTTCTTGTCTCTTCCTCACCTCCCTGTCCTTGATAAGAAAAAGATAGTCCTTCATTACCCTTCTATTTGCTAAATGTCTATAATGCAGGAAATTTGTGAGGTTTCTAATAGAATAGTATACATTACAGATTAGAAGGGGACTGTTGTCATTTAATCATGTTGTACAGTACCAAACAATACTCTGTTGGAGTACTGTACGATAAATAGCTGTTTAGTCTACTTTCTTTTTCTAGAAATGAAACCTAGGTTTAATTTTCTTGGAATGAGATTCATAATTTTTGCTTTATTTTATACTTTTAGTTGTGAAGGTGTTTTTACAGCCATGTTAACAGTTCGCCTGCCAGCATGTAATTCATTTGGAGCAAGACTCGCCACTACCGTGTTCAAATAAATGTTTGTTAAAATGTGTTTATCTTCTTAAGGAGAGTAAGATATTTGTCACTGCCCCAAAAAAGTTGCAGGAAGTCAATGACTATGGTCAGCAGGTGCACCTGCAGATTTGTTGAATTTGTGTACTATTGATAGAATTCACTGAATAGTCTGTGGTTCTCTTATGAGTTAACGTGTTTTACTTAAGTCAAATCCTGGTAATGCACTGCAGTAGGTTAGAGAGACGGATCCAATTATAACCACGGGACAGACTTAGAACAAATGGGAATTCATAGCCTTTTTGCTGTATACAGACTAATCCAGTATAGTCAAATTGACAGTAACATAATCGAGTCAGTTTCTTTGTCAACTTTCTCCTCATCTCCTCCCAGAAAGTGACAATGTAAAGCACCAAAGTCTTTACCTTTGTGATCTTGCTTGGGGACCAATATGAATGGCTGATGTCAGACCATCAACTTTCATAAGAACACAGTAGAGGGCCTTGTTCTATGGTTGAGATTAAATCTTGAGATGGAGAGTGTTATTTTTGGTAACATTTTCCTGATGCTGTGTGCTGAAAGTGTCCCTTTTTTTATCACTCAACTTCAACTTAAAATAAAAAATTACTATTGCTCTCCTATACACTATGAGACTAGTTTTATATAGTGTTTTTTTGTGATTTAATGCCTTGTCCTACTTTGTAGATGTCTGTTCACTAGTTATAGCCTTTATTCATGTAGAAGAGAGACCCACAGAACTTCAGCTGGTTTATGTTCATTAACTAACTTGATGCACTGTATCTTATAGGAGAAGGGTGATCAACTACAGTGGTTATGTTAGAATAGGGACGATTGAACACAAAGTCTTGGAAGCCAAGTTGCTTTGCTAATTTATACTTCATACTTTGCAGCATGTTGGTATTATAAAACAAAAACCCCTAATTTTAGTGATTTGTACAGTTGTGAGTCAGTGAATGCACAGATCTGTGAAATCTACATTTGCTTATAGTGATATTGGAGTGCTGGTTGCATAATCGTCTGGGCTTCAGTGGACCCTGGGGGAGCAAGCACAGTGTTTTCCTGGTCATACAGGAATGATATTTCAGTATTGGAGAGACTAAATGTGCGCAGCACGAGGATGTTACCAGGGATGAATGGATAGTTATCAAGAAAGAATGGAGGCTTGTAATTTTTCTCTAGACATAAGATGATTGAGCTGTTTAAAATTCTGAAAGCATTTGATAAGGTGGGCCTTAAAAGGCTAGTTCACTTGTTGGCGAGTCCGAAACAAGGCATAAATATAAGAGTGATTTAAAGGGGAATTTAGCAGTATTTATAATGTGGAACTCACTGCTGTAAGCAGTGGTTGAAGCAGAAATCAATTGAATTTATTTCTTGTATTTAAGAGGAAACCTGATGTATATGTAAAATAAAAGGAATAGAGGGATTAGGAGGGGTGGAGGCTGTTGTGGAGTATAACCACTGCCCTTGACAAGTTAGACCAAATGACCTATTCCTGTGCTGTAATGTTCAATGTTTCACACCCAATCATGTAATATCAACGCAGCATATTTGATCCACCAGTTATTTTCACCATCGTATAAAGAAATAATCAATATTCTGCTGCTTCTACATCCATAATGAATAGCTTTTTGCTTTGAAAAAAAATGACTGCATTCATTAAGAATAAACTGCTCCCAGGATTATTGTAAGTTATATTCTGTATTTCAACTTGCTTGTTTGAACTGCACACTGCAGTCAATAGATTAAGCCTGGTTCTATAACTACAGTACTGGAGATCAATTATTGAGCTCATTATTTTCTGTCAGCAGCAGGTAAGTGAAAAGTCAGGTTCCTTTGGGATGGCTTGCAGGCCAAAAGTCATGTAAACTCATTGTAAGTAAATTGTTCTTAATAATACTGAAAAATATTCATGCTTAGTCAGCCAAGTCGAAAAAAATCCCAAAGCATCATACATCAAGTAAATTTATTTGCAGAGAACTGAAGTTATTTAAGCAGGAGCTGAAAGGAAATTAAAGTGGGAATTGTTTTTTAAGTTTGAGTACTCAAACACATTCATTTACAAATGACATCAGTTGTTTAAGTAAGAGTACAAAATAAATTAAATTGGGATTAGTTGTTAAAGTGCCCTCTGGAAGGAGATTAATATTAAACTGTTGTAGCTGACCTAATGTATTTTAGTCCCAGTAGAAAAATGGCACTTGAAACTGTTTTGTTTGACTTAAATGTCTAGGGACTTTTTAAAAAAAATAATAATTGTCAGATTTGTAAATTAAACCTATGGTATTAGAATATAGGATTAAAGAGGAAAATACAAATCAAAATAACAAATGAGGGTACGTGAATGAAGAACAAGGTTTTGGACATGATATTTCATCAGGATGGGCTGCAGAAGCCCCCGATTGGGATAAAGTATCACATTGACAAGTTTAAAAACACATGACGGTTAGAAAATGATTACATTGGGAGGTAACTGAAAGGGCCATTAATGGATTGTAGCACAGAACTGATTTCAGGAATGCAATATGTGTAATCCTTTGTGACTCTTCTCAAACTGATACGCTAGTGTGTGTGGCTGTGATGTCTGCTTAAATGTAGAAAAACAGGAATGTTTCTTCATGGTGAGCGATTGAGGTTTGCAGTTCCCCTAAAGGAAATGAGGCCTTGGGAAATGCACTTTTATTTGTTTAGGATGTCATCTCAGAACTTTATGTGGCAACTAATATCAATAGATTTGTGATGGACTATGCAGAGAAATAAGAAATTACAAATCTCACATGTTCATTTTTATATCAGCCTTGTGGTGGCTAATTTAGTTTTGGGGGAAGTTTTATGACGTTGAGTGGTAACTATTTTTAAAACTCAGAACAGAAGTTGGCCTAGATCACAAACTGAGAGTCCAGTAAATAGGCTTTCCCTCCAGCAGAGTTCAGTGAGTTGTTGCTAACTGTTTTGACATTAATTTATGATGTTTTCGTACTTGTAGCTTGCATACTGTAAAATAGTTGTTTGGGTTTGAGGTTGCATTGTACATTGAGGATTTTAGTAACAAAATGGGTCTGAAAATATTACAGTCTAACTTTCTGTCTTGGCACATAAGTGGTTGCCCATGACAAAGCAAGCAATGAAAATTGGCCAAATTATGATAATGCCACACAAATAATAATTTGTTACAGTGCCTTATCATGTCTTCGAAATGTCTCAAAGCACTTCACAGAACATACTGTAAAGTGAATTGGCTGTATATGTTGTGGGCGAGAAATAGCTGGCAGCACACAATTCAGCCCGGCAGAGAAGAATTCAAAGCCGAACCAATAAGAGGGTGATTTGACTATCCGGATGTGCTGATGATGTCTCTATAAGATGCATAGAATTTTCTCTCATGCATGGGAGCACAGGAAAGCAGTACAGCCACAATTCTGACAAGTAGGGAAAACTTAATTTGCATGCATATTTTTAGGAGGCAAGGATGTTGAAACGAGCAGGCTTGACTGTACTTGATTTCTGTTAATGAGAAGCCTCTGTAAAGCTTGTTCACAATCTCTAGTGGGTATGATGAAGTTGTGAACTGTAGTATTGAGCCATTTTGTCTTTAGATTCAAATGGTTCCATCTGTCAGATTTTGAACCAGTGAGGCCTCAGGAAACTTCTATCACTGTAGTTAATGATCTTTTAATGGCAGTACTGTAACCATTTTAGAAATGTAAAAAGTCCTAAGTGTAAAAAAAAATGCGGTTCTATTTTGTAGTTCTATGTGAGTACATAATGCTGTTTTTTTTTCTCTCCCTCTTTTTGTTTAAATAGCACATCTCAATACATTACTAAAGACTGTCGGTTGTAAGCTCTCACAAAAGAGTAGGGCATGAAGGGAAGGAGTTTAAATTGTTTATTTAAAAAATAAAAATGTAATGTTTGATTTTGTACTGAGCTTGACAGAAAAAGAGAGAAGTGAGATTCAGCAAAAGAGCACAACTTATTAAAAAGAAAACATCATATAGTTGTTACCAAAATTGGGAAGAGATACTTAAATATAAATATACACAGATTTTTTAAAAACAGCCCAGATCACATTTTTATTTTAACACTTTATTATCTGGTGAGCAAGAATGCACTCACTGTTTAACACGGGAAATAAAATTGCTTTATGTTTGTTTGAATTAGTGCTTCAATGTACTCACTTTGTTCTTGTAATTATTCTTGTTCACTTGATAATCTGTTGTATTCCCACTTTCATTGTCCATAGCTTCCAGCAGCCTGGTTCACCATGTTTGATGCAGTGCTTATTCTGATCCTGATCCCAGTGAAAGACAAAGTGGTAGACCCCATTTTAAAGCAAAAAGGGATACTCCCATCGCCATTGATGAGAATTGCTTTGGGCATGTTTTTTGTCATGTGTTCTGCAGTGGCAGCTGGTAAGGAAAATCTTTTAAAAACAACCATATTTGTCTTTAGAAAAAGGTCATGGTGAATGTTATGAAAGGAGAAATGTTTGTAGAATACAATGCTAATTAAAATCTTGTTTTTAAAATAATGCCTTAAAGAACAAGAGACATTTTGGAAATCTTGAGGACTAAATATAAAAATAACAAATCTGTTGCAAAGCTTTTTTTAAAGTTTTTGTAATTTATTCAAGGAACTGCCGATAATATTTAATACATTATCAATTTCTCCGACCAAAATAAAAATGTAGATTTCCATCAAATGTTTGAAAAAATTTTTAACAATTAAATTGCCAATTTGGGAGATCCATTTTAAAACCATAGTAGTAATAATTCCCAGTGTAGTTATGTTACCTTAAACTACTTGAGAAATATATGGGGGAAAGGAAATGTTGCGTTCCACATACTCAGATGTTTAGTACTTTTTTCGGAAATAAGTACTGAAACTCATAGTGGTATGGACTGAGATTCATCATTTTAAATGTGGCTATTTTTATGTTAGAAAAGCCTATTGGATATGGAAATATTTGCAGTTCCGTAAAAGGAATGCGTTTCTCAACAGCTTTTACTTCCTCTTCTTCTGCCCCGAACCACACGCGCAGATGTTAGGATTTAGGTGGCTTTGCTGAAGGTCAAGGCTCCTTCTGTCTTGCACCACAGATGGATGCTTTTACCATAGTCATTGGATAGTAGTTTTAAAAGTTCTTCTCCCAAGATTGTTGTATTGTACCTCACCTTAATTCATATTGGAAGGTGAAATGTTGGAAGAAAAAGGCATTGTGCTGATTGCTGCCCTTTAAATAAAAATGTTGCCCTCACTCATGGCACGTCAGTAATCTGACTGGAAGTTGTCCCACTGTAGCCAGCAACCTTTGCATCTGTCAAAAGAGACCTTTGTGTTCGTAAGGCTAAAGGTAGATTCTGCACATTATTAAAATATTTATAACAGTTGTGAGATCCAAAGGTCACAGCTGTTGATGATGATGTATTTTGATAAGATTCTCTGTCTGCTTCATTCTAAGCAGATATGCTTATAAGATCACTTCAAGTACTGACACAACCACAAGGCTGCAACCCAAATAGAAGAAATCCTTTTTTATATAAAATGAATGCTAACAACCAATTTAACATGCAACCTTATTACAAGCACTGCTACAATTTAAAATTGTTCCTGTGAAGTGTGCAGAGAGGACCTCATCAGTTCATTTTTCTAGGGTCTAGACCAATGACAAGACACATTAGGAACTGGGTTAGCCAAGACCCAAATCGTACCTTAAAGCAATAAAAGAGATGACTTTAATCTCCGATCCCCGAAAAGCAAAACATGCACATCAACTATGATCCCAATCTACGTTGCTAGTGTTAGTTGTTTGGGGAGGGAGAAATTATAGCTAAATTCCAAAATTCAGCCATTGTTTAGAGATTTCTCCACTACCTGCAGCCCACGCCATAGGCTGTACATTCATCAGATTACAAAGGGTTGTACAACATTTAAATCTTGCAAGGCTTATGGAAAAATATTAACTTTAAATTCCAAGAATTTTTCACCAAGCAAATCTGGTACTACAAATGAAGAAAATATACCAAAACATTTTAATTAGACTGTCCTGCAGTTCTGCTGTATTATTCATACACGTAATTTTCTATTTGATAATAAAGTCAAATGATCCAGATAAACCAATTTATCTTTGTTGGGGTTGAACCCTCTTCATGTACTTTTTCCATTGAGTTTGCGTGCGCTGCACTAGGTGGCAGTCTACTCTATTAATTAACTTGTGTGCAAAGTAGTTTAAATATTGCATTTAGCTCACAATTCCCTTGAGTTACATAATTTTCTCGTTCTTTTGTCCCAGTTTCTCAAAAACAATGTCTTGGTGTCCACCCCACAGCAGATCTCCCACGCATCTTTGAATGTGCGATCTTACTCTCTTCCCTTCCCTCCCTTGACCTGTTTCCCTTTCCCACTCTGAAGACACTCCCATAGCTTCTTATATAGCTCATTGATTGCCAACCCCTTCCATTGATCTAGTCTTCCTTTTTGAAAAAAAATTCTAGTTTCTAAAGCTGGCACAATCTTCCATGCCCAGTTTTTACCTCTTTTGTATTCTCTTAACTGACATATTCCTATTATTAGCGCTGATGTGCATTAATCTATGTTAAATATTTCTGAAAACAATTTTCATATTTTTCTGCCAAGTGGTAAGTTCTTTGGTCTCAGAATATCTAATAAATAGAATCATGTTATTAAGTATTATGAGAAAAATAACTATAATCATAGAACATCATTGGTATTTTTACGTAAGTCTGACATTGCTAATGAAGTAGAAGTGCTCTTTTTGTTTCACCTTCGTGTTAAATGTTGTGCTTGTGACTTCAAGCTTCGCTCTCCAGTTAAATAGCCTAATTAATTCTACATAATTTGTCTCACCATTTTAAAAACTTGTATTCTATCCCTTCTCAATCTTTCCTGCAATGAAAACAAGTTTGGTTCCATTAGCCTCTCTTTATAAAACTTGAGTCCTAAATCGCAGAATCAATAGTCCTTGTCACTCTCCTCTGAATCCTGTCCCATACATCAATATCCTTTTGAAGGTAGTGTGCCCAAGTTTGCATAGTGTTCTAAATGAAGCTTCTCCAGTGATCTAAAACTGTTTGGGCTTCTTGTGTATTCTTGAGATATATCCCAATATTTGATTAACCTTGTTGTTAACGACTTCAGTAAATGGATAATTTTTAAGTGAAACAAAACACAAAATTTTGAAGTGAATGATCAATCAGCATGAGCAGATCTTCTTTTCCAAGGAACGGCTCTTCATTGGATAGACAGTTCTTGTTTCATTGTTCGTTACCTTTCACATCAGTCTGAAAATCTGTTTGCAAATGGAATATCTTAATATGTGAATATCTCATATTGTGAGAAAACAAAGTGTAAGATGCGAGGTATTCATGTCAGATATTACTGAAATCTTATGACCACCATTCCCTAAAAATTGCTTATTGATCCAGTTTCCTTTGAATGCTCTGGACTCCCTCACCCTTGCAGCTTGATGTTCTCAGTACGTTTTGAAATATTTCTTATAGTATCCTCTATTTTATGAACAGTAGGGATCCAAATCCGAGTCTGAAGGAACACCACTAGTCATTGCCCCAAGACAGAGAATTTTTCATTTATTATAACTTCCTTTTCTACCCCTCCATTAGCTCTTTGCTGTACAAGAGTTTAAATAAGAATGGCTCCTTTTTTCCTGTTATACAAGAATCTCTTAGAAAAAGTAGCGATTCAATTTATTGGCTCTTTCGGTTGCAATAGTTCACTAACCATTTCATTTTCCACAAGACATTTCCTTTTTTTTTCAATTAGTAATAAATACAGACCTTAAACTGAAATGGTTTTCCAAGTACATTTTCATAGTGCGAAACCTGGGGGATGATATGATTGCTAATGTTTCTAGCATGCCTGTTGAAATGAAACTGTTTTAAACTATTTCTGTGAAAATGGAAGGGAGTTATCTTGATGGGCACATAATCGCTGTCTGACTAACAAAAAAGGTCATTTTAATTGACGTTATTGGATTCCAGGGGTAACTGTAGAGTGCATTTTTAAGTTTGAGAAAGGTGGTTACTCAAACCAAATAAAGGTTTTTCTGAGGCTGGGGGAGGAATAGCCTAACATACTATTTAAAAATAAAAAGACTGGCTATGGAAGTGGAATGCAATGCTGTTCACTTCAAGGTCTGAGAACTGACTTGAAGCAGCATTTTCAACCTAGAAAGCTTTTGGTCCTTGAAGTACAGTAATTTGATACTTTTAGCTCTACATTAGCTCAATTTCAGAGTAGATTTAGTGGAAGTATTCTAATATTGTTGATCTTCTACGTCTACAATTTCATAATGTTTGGTCATATAATTACAACAAAAAATTAGCAAGTGAATATACAGTCCTATATTAGTCACTAAGGAGCAATTATAATACAACAAAGTCAAGTTAATTAAAACTGTAGAATTCAATTTTCAGCAATTCATTAAATTCAAAAGAATCTAGCCATTGGTTCCTTGTGCTCTGGCAGTTTAGAAGTGGAGTTCATCAGTAAATGTATTGGTGCACTAAAATTAAATTGACATTTTCTAAATTATTGAAACTAATAGAAATTCAAAGCCAATCTCTTTCATTCTTAATCAACTACAATTCAAGTCCTCTTTTTGAAAAAAAGATTATGAAATACAATGCCACAATGTAAAGCTGGCTAAATACATCTTTGAAAAGTTTTTGAAATATATTTGTACTATTTGGTTAATTTAAATTGAATTTGCACCAGACCATTTGCTTATAGGTGTTTCTATAAGCTTATACCCATTTGTTTATATCCTTATCCACAAAATAAATCAAATTAGCACTTGCAGTCTTTTTTACTTCTGTTCAGTCAATTCATTCTTTCAGAATTCAGTATAAATTTTGCAGTCAAATATTGAGCATTTCTAGAGGTTAGCACATTTAAACAGTATGCAGCTTTCAATTCAATGAATAATACATAGAATCATTCAGTAAAGGATACTCGTCCGAAGAGTAAAACGATAAAATGTTTTTTTTTCCTTGAAAATCAGAAGGATGGGGAAAATGTTTGTGCTTTTGTAGGGGCAAGAGGTGAATTGGAAGAATGCATTTGGAAATCATTTTGATCCTAGCTTGTAAGTGATTAAATAGAATTTGGAAAAGATTGGTTGGTTGTAGGGCATGTTCTGACATTATGTGACTAAGTGGCTCTGTTAAATTTTTATGAAGGTTTGCAACCCCAGTTTAAAATATTCGGTTCAGTAGGCTCTTTTCTCTAATTTATATGTGTGGAATTTGCAAAGAAGGATACCGTTTAATTTTGTATTCCAAGTTCTCTCATATTCTGTACACATTACTGGCATTGAATTGTAAAAGAGACAAAACTGAATATCCAACCATTTTTAGAACAAAAATATTGTTTCACATGTTTAAACAAGAAAGATGGGTTACATATTATAAATAGAAGCAATCAAATAAATAGAAGACATTTTTGTTATGTTTTAATTTTGACAGACTAAGCATCAGCAAATGTGTTTAACCATCCCATAATATGTTGTTAGAAGCGATTATCTGTTGGTCCTCAGGAATCATTTACTGTATGGAGGTGTTTTTATTGTAGACATATTAATATGGAAATAAATAAGGTTCAGCAGGGAATTGAAACCAGCAAAGTGTCTACACTCTTCTGATAATTTCCATATTTTCCATATCCTTGATTTTCTAAAGATAACTGAAGAGAAAAAAATGAGTTATCATCTCAAGATTTATTTTGCAGTATATGCTTTAAATAGAAATAATGCAATGTTGCGATTATGCTTCAATTGGCCCCCTTCTGTGTAGAACATGTCTGTGGTCTATATTTTAATTGTATTACTGGAAGGGTTTGAGTTTATGGCCAATATTCTGTTGTCTATGTAGACCGTTTAAGCTATTCCTCACTGAAACAATCTTTCCACATATTTAGTAAATAGTGTGACTTAATCCTTTCATATCTTTGTAACATCTTTCTGTTGTCTCAATTTTTTTTGTAATAAATGACTACAAATGTCATCTTTGTAGCTTTTTTTTCTATGAAGACATATTCTAAAACTACTGAGAATTGACAGTGATACGAATTTACTAAATGTCCATTGCTTGGAGGCAGAATTTTTTTTTCCTTCAGCAAATTCTGATGTCAGGATCTCACAAAAAATGTTTCGAATTGCAGGTAGCTTCACTATAGTGTGTGTTAGAAAATTGCCACTGTTTTACATCACAAGCTAAGCTTAAAAAAAATCAAGTCATTTAATATGTAAGCTTTCTCCATCATTAATTTAATTTTGTATACACTCATGCTGAGGCACTTCAGCTTTAAGACTTTTTCTACAACTAAATCCAGACTGACAGCCGAACATGGGGGAATATTTTCTAGCTACTGAGCAAGGCGTTCACTGCTAATGTAGCTTGCCTACGATAATCTGTTTTAATCTTGTGGTGTACAAAATCTCTAGTGTAAATTCTAGAAAAAATCAAGACAGGGATTTATGTTAAAATGTTTTATTGGTCTAATTATAGGGAAGAAAAGGCTATTGTACACTGTCTCCGGTATGGTTTTATAATCATTTTTTGTCATATTACTTTGTATGTGTAATGTAATATGGGAATGGTTTTTAATTTTTTATTTTAAAAAATAAAAAATCTGAAAATATGTAATTGATTTGTATAGTGCGGAAATCAAAACTAAACTAAGGAATTCAGGCCTGAAATTGCATCCTAAATATTTTCACAGGATTCACAAAATTGTATACAAGTATATTTTTCCTCCTTTTCAGGAATCCTTGAAGACCAGCGATTGAATAGCCTACGAAATGGAACCATTCCACAACAGATTGGAAATGTATTGTACAATGCTGCACCCCTATCAATATGGTGGCAAATTCCCCAGTATGTATTGATTGGGATTAGTGAAATATTTGCAAGCATAGCGGGTAAGTGTTGGTTAATGTCTCTATGCATTATACAACAGTCTTCTAAAAACTTTTTTTTTCCCCTTACGAAAATGCAGTTGCATAGAAAAAGCATCCTTTTATCTGGTTTTGTTCCATTCAATCTATCACAGACATCAGTAATCTTTTCTTTGGAATTTGAGGCCACAATCTAGGCTAATATTCCACACAGAACTTGGGGAGCTAGCTAGCTGCATTATTGTGAGGTGCTGTCTTTCAGATGAAATGTCAACTGATGTCCCATTTGCCTGTTCAAGTAGATATTAAAGATCCCATGACAGTGTTTGAATAGAGAAGAGAGTTTATTCTTGTGTCCTGAACAACAATCGTCCAAATTATCGTTCATCTCATGGCCGTCGCTGGGATCATGCTGGGATAAATGCTGTTGCAGTGGCTTACAAAGCACTTCATGGTAATTACACTTGAAGCACATTATGACGTGACAACGTGATGAGGTGCTATAGAAATGTGAGTTTTTTCACAATAGGGCAACCTAAGGGATTACAGTAGGCCTATTTTGTTTGCGATTAAAGCACCAACAATTTTAAAAGCACAAACTCTATATCGGCCTCTACATGCACTCAATTATGTGTATGTACTGAATTCCAATATTAGGTGTTTGTGTTTTAATGGTAGCTGTTCAGCCGTCGACTAATGTGATGCGGAGGGTGAAGTGTAAATGCCTGCTTCTCCCTTTTCTTGCATAAATAAATCTAACTAAAGTGTCTAGTGTTTGTTTTCTCTTTCTAGGATCTGACCCAATGGAAGCAGCAGTACACAATTATTAAATTGTTTGCCTGACACTTTTAATGTTTAAAGTAAGCTACAGTAAGCAAGTACTTACTTTTCTCTTTGATACATCCATATTATCAATCAAACTGTATACTGTCTCTTCGATTATCTCATTGTTCAATGAGTTTAAATTCTTTCAGGATCACGTTTTTTAGTTATCCCCATGAAGAATGTAATTTGTTACCTTTAACAAAACTGCTTGGTAATGACTGCATGGTGACATCAATCAGGTGCAATTGATTTAAAAGCCAATAAGACAGCACTGAATTCAAGGTCAGTGTTGGGTACAGAGGACCAAGTGGTGGTAGTGGGCTCACCTAGTAACATATTTGGAGAGTTTTGGTGTCCTGTTGCTCTGTAGTAACAAAGCCAATTACAGGTATCTTTAAGATACCTTCTGTAATTGAATCTGTACTCATTTTTCCAACAGCTGATTGTTAAATCATTGTGCACTGCATGTCCTTTGGAGCTTCTAACTTGTTTTGCAGCTATAACGTTTCTTTTCAGTAAGTTTATTTATTTTTTTAAAGAAATGCCTTGGAGTCTAATTTGAGGCAATTCTTAATTGAAATTTATCCAGGACCACAGGAACTCCTCTTCTGGAAGTAGATGGCGTCAGAGTGGAGTTTGCATGTGTTGGCATCACATACATCTGGTTACCAAATGTATTTGAAAATGACTCCATTTTAATTAATGCTGTTAGGTATTAGCCCTAATTTAGACTATCTTGTCAGTAAGCCACACTGAAATCCACCTATATATATATATATATATACTGAAGGCATTGGGTCCCTTTTCTGAGTAGATTAGTAGAGTAGAAAACTGCTTAAAGTACAATGAGGGGAAAATACTAAATTTCTGTTTATATTTTGGTGAAGCTCATTGCCAATTCTGCATTAAGCTGTCTCCTAGAGAAACCATGCCCATTGCTTAAGAGTTAATAATAAGAAAAGTAACTAAGAATAAATGCCTAGCTTTGTTGAACGTGAGGAGAATGTAGTCTTGTTAGATTTATCTAAGGGAAGTTGGTTAACAATGGATTACTCTAAAGGAAAGTACAAAGGGGGAATTGATTGGAAACATCCATTCTGAGTTATTGATGCTATATGTATGCCTAACAAATGCAGTACCATTTTCCAACTTTCTCACATCACTGAAAGACGGAACTGAAATGAGGTCGTGGACCCATGCATCAACATGTCAGAATCCACGAGCTATGCATCTTTGGAGAGTTCAGATGCTGTTAGGAGAGATGGATTGACACTTTGTACATTTCTAACCCAAATGTAAAAGAACATTATTTGTATTCTCTCTGGCACATATACTATTCACAAATAAATGCAGTGCTTTTCTCCAGGTTTACTTCAATTGACTATTTGAGTGATGGACATGTCTTGTTTTATGCCACAGCCATCATTAACCTCCTGCCATTTCAGGCACAGTTTCCCCCCCCCTCCCACCCCCACCAAAATACAGCTGTATTCTATTCTTGTGCCTTCCCCCTCTTCCCCCCCCCCCCCCCCCCCCCGTTCCACCACATACACACAGGAGTGGTTGGCTGCTGCAACTCAGCTCCTGTGCATTTGAACCTGTGTTAAGTTAACACAACTGATCAGGGACACGTGTGGCTCCCGGGACATGCTAGAGCAGTCTGTGTCAATCAGATACGAAACAGTGGGTCTCCACAATTCACAAGACTCGAGGATATTTTGATGATGGTAACATATAGAGTAATATATTTTCTCATGAGGGAGAAAGTGCTTTGAATAGGAAGTACGCTCTTCAGTTTTCCCTTTTCAACTGCGATTGGCTTTATTCTTCACCTACAAAATAGTGAGGAAGGTTATTAGAGGACGCAGAGAATTGGGATTAGGATGGATGGCTACTTGGAGAATCAACCACCCACAAATTAATGGGCCAAATGGCCTCCTTCTGTGTCACACATTTCTACCGTTCTAAGCTTGCCAGAAGAAAGGAAGTAAAGCTTCCTCTCTCAAATTTATGGTGCATTAGTAGATTGCAATGAAGTTATTTAATTGGCCAAAGAGTGGGCATTAATAATAGTAAGATCCTGCATTTCTTCAGTGAGTTTACTGCCACCATTCAATAGTTTCATCACATTTAGTTTCAACACACATTTTATCTGCTAATGGCTGTAATGAATATTCTGATATGTGTTTTGCTGGCGGGAGGGGCTGGGGGTGGAAACCTTGGGCAGATTAAAGCACTCTGCTATGTCTTGAGCTTCAATCAGCTGTCCACTCACTGTTGCCCAAAATAAAACTTGCTGGAAGATTAATTACTATAATGGTTATAACTGAAATCCAAATACAAAATGTGTAGAAGACGATATCATTCCTCTTCAGGTAGCTGTGCAGACATTTCAGTTGACCTTGGCACAAAAGCTCCCTGAACATTCTTTCAGACACTCTTGGCAAAGATTATAGAGCAAGTGTTTTTTTTTATTTATATATATATATATATTAGTACCTTCAGAGAATTGCACTTAAAGAAGCCTATTTTTTATTCTTGTTGATTCATTCTTTAGTATATTTGGTGAAAATCCATTTATTTTGTATTCTCTGCATTTCTAACCGTGCTTTTATAAGAATAATCCTTGCATTTGATGCGGGGCCTTATCACAAAACGCTTCATGGGATACACTGTAAAGTCGTGTGATTGTGTGTATTTTGTGGGCAAACGTGGCAGCCAATTTGCAATATCTCACAATAATAATGATCCTTGCATTTGATATAGTGTTTTCACATATTCTAAACGTCTCAAAGCGCTTCACAGAATATATTGCAAAGTGAATTGACTGTATATTTGTGGGCGAAATGCGGCAGGCAATTAGGCACAGCAATGTCCCACAAACAGTCGTGGATTGAAATGACCAATTTATTATTTTTTCTCTTGAGGGATTATTATCAGGTGTGTGGAGTAAGGAAACTTGCCCAAGGTTTTGCCCTACCGGGAATCGAACCCAGGTCTCTCGCTTGCGAGGCGAGTGCTCTAACCACTGAGCTACAGGACTCCACAGTAAAGCCATGGAGCGAAAAAAATCTCACTTTTGATCTAAATGTGAGACATTCTAACATTTGCAATAAGTTGTGTTTGAAGAGTGAACCTTTTTAACTTGTAAATAATTTTACTTTATTTGAAAGTTTCACTTATTTTGAATGTCTGCACGTGTTACTGTAGCTCAGTGGTTAGAGCACTCGCTTTGCAAGTGAGAGACCTGAGTTCAATTCCAGGCAGAGGGCGAAACCTTGGGCAAGTTTCCTTACTCCACACAGAGCCTAATAATAATCCCTCCAAAAACCAAAAACAATAATAAATTGGTCATTTTCAATCCATGACTGTTTGTGGGACATTGCTGTGCGCAATTGGCTGCCGCTTTCGCCCACAAATATACAGTCAATTCACTTTACAGTATATTCTGTGAAGCGCTTTGGGACGTCCTCCTGACGTGAAAAGCGCTATATCAAATGCAAGGATTATTATTATTATTACCACGTCTTTCCGATGTGAAGGGCTCTATACAAGTGTCATTTGTTGTTGTTAATAAATGTAATGTATTGCTCCTTTATTTCTAGTCTTCTGGAGAGCAGTAATTGAGAGGCAGACTAAAATCTTCAGTGAATGCAGAGTAGATTTTATAGTACATCCTTTTGATAGAGGAGGAAAAAAATGCTGCCTAGAGCACGAACGAGCCGTTTGGCTCTCCAGAGAGCATTAAATCTACCCTATCATGCACTTCAGGTCTCCCCACTTGTATCTCCTGGGTAAATAATCTGCAGAAATATTTCTGAATCCCCAAAGGTAATCCAGCCAAAATGGCATTTATAGAGTATTCTTCCATCTTTCCAATTGAAACCTGACCGTCCTTTCCTCACAAAACATTCCTCTCGCCCTGAGACCAGGAGCACAGAAATCGTGGTGTCCTGTGCAGATCTCGGTCTGTACAATCCCTTTAACTCTCTCTAAAGCAAATACGTTTTAAGATCTTGAAGGAGTTAATCGAAGCAGCATCAAAGTGCCTTTGTTGGAGTCAGTGTTCCATGTACAGAATCCGCTGCTCTGTCAAAAACCCCAAATCTCATATCTGCTCAAGGCTTTTTCATTTTGAAACCATGTAACTCTCGTTCTTAGGCTTGCAATTTCATTTAGTCTTAACATCTAACTTAATTTTGATGTAAAATTTAAGATGGCACAGAATTGTAGAAAATTCTTCAAGATAACTGGCTTCCAAACTAAGACTGGATTGAAGAATTTTTCGTAATGTTATCTGATCCTAAATTTTAAGACTAAATGGACTTGGAATATATTTTTACCTCTTATTTGCCTCTCGTCTTTTTAAAGACCCGGGTCATGTATTTCTCCCCCGCCACCCCCCCCCCCTCAGAGACGTTCAGCTTCTCCTTGAATCTTCCATTCCCCATGGGCATTGACCTAGTGATAGCTTTCATGACATCAGGTCTCCTGTGTCTCAGAAAGAAATTGCTTTGGCTGAACGATTGGAAATTGCCCTGTACCTAAAATCTTCATTAACATGTTTTTTAATTATTCTACAATGAGGTGGGTGAGATGTAAACTTGTATGATGCCGTCTAAAAAAATGCAAAGCCTCTATCTGTATTACTGCCCACATTATAACAACTCAACTCATGTTTTCTTAAATGTATCAAATCCATGTTGGGATGTCAGAGAGAGAAGATGCACATCACTTTAATCCATCGTAATATTTCAACACGGAATCCTCTTAGTTCACTCTTATTTAGCCAGAGACTTGTAATCTCTTCCTCCACGATAGGACAGCATAAACATTTGACTTCAAACGAACTGTGTTTGAGTTATTGAGAAAATCTATCGTTGTCTGCCATTAGTGAGTACTGTACTTTCTCTCGGCCAAAAGAGATGTAATCAGGGTGTTCAAAATTCTGAAGAGATTTTGATAAAATTGATCCGTTACTGTGAAGCGCTCTGAGACGCCGTCCGGCATGGAGGGCGGCGCTATACAAATCCAAGTTGTTGTTGTCGTTGACATGTGGGAAACCCATGTGGAAAGAATCTCCAAACTAAACTGCACAGAGTTCCAGAATTGAAGGTGGTAGCAGCCGCCCATAAAATCCCATTCAACCTTATAAGGTTCGTCGGTCTGGGTTTCTAAATAGCGATGAGATTGGTGACGTCACTGTGCATGGCGGACAGCTTCCATTGCGCTACAAGGTGGCCAAATTCTGAGTCATCAGGTCTCAGCAGATGTCACGTCCTGTACGCTGAGACATGGAGACAGACGACAGGCTAAATGACCTGGTTCTTCGGCTGCAAATCCTATGAAAAAAAATTCCATTTCAGATTAGTATTAAAAGGGCTTGGAACGGATACCGAGGGAGGCCAGTTTGTGGCCCGAGTTTGATTTATTTCACTGCACAAGAAATTGTGGTGTAATGTTACACCAATTATTTTTTATATAAAATACTGCTCAAGTCTGACTAATTTATTCATGCAAGGAGAAGAGATTTCAAAAACGCAATACATTTTAATCAACTTGCCCGTGATTCTGTTCCATTACATTTCTTGATTATATTTTAGATTTTTCTCTTTAACCAACTTGAAAAATGTTATATTGCGTGTTTCCATTGTGCTGCTCTTTAAGGCTGGTGCAGTTAATGAACCTGTGAACCCATATTTGATCTTGCTTCTCAGAAAAAGGTTTCAATAGTTATCATTTTGAGATGTTCAGAAGGCAACCAAGAGGGCAAACTTACATTTAAAGTATGTAGATGCAAGAGAATTTAAAAGGAAACTCTTGATTACAAGTTTTTTTCTTTAAATTGTATTTTTTTGGCACTACAGTTTTCTGCCAGACGAAATGTAATACTTCAAAATCATATTAGTAACTCTGCACGTCTGAGCTAAATGAAAAGTGGGAGCAACTGTTATTTGTCTGCTGTCTTGTGTTGTTATAGTCGCTTGTCATACTTAACCTTAGAATTTAATCCTGCTTTATTAAAATCCTACTTCTACAAGCAGCATGGTTATCTGTGCTGGAGGACCTGCTTATCTCTATGTTCTTGTAGCGAGCGATGTCGTACTCTAATCCTGAAATTCTTTTTCTGGTCTGAAATGCCAGCTGCATGGATTGCGCATTCATAGTGCAGCCCATTTCCAATTAAAGTGTTAAAAACATCTTGTTGTGCTTTACTGATGGTAACAGGAATTCAGAGTAGAATATTGAATTTTTTTTGACCAAGTTTCATGTATTGTTTTTAATTTGTAAGACCATTTGTGATCAAATAATGTTAGACAGAATATACTGTAAATAGAAAATTGTTGCAAGGTCAATTAGTGCAAAACCATGCCTGTTGCAAATGATGTCAACTGTGTAATCGGGAGGGAACAATACTGATGCATTATGTAAGAATTATAACTAGGAGATGGATATAAAGGAAAGGAAATTGGTTGACCAAAACCCAAATTGAACCTGATTGAACCACATTGCATTGAAAGTCAGAAAGTATAAAGGTTTTGATGCAGTCCATTTGAAACGCTTTCAGAATGTCTGCTCCTAATGAAACCTTAAACTACAAGTCATTCTGCTTGCCCCGATGAGCATGACTGATTTCTAATTGTGTAGAGGAGAAGGTTGGAAGTTCAACCCAAAACGTCCAACCCAACATCAGTGTGCAGCTTAAAAGCAGCCCGTTTTATTTATTAGGCTGACCTAATTAACCATCTGGGCATTGTCGATAATCATGTTTCTGAAAATTATTATTTGATAATTATTTGGGGAATTTCTTTGCTCTCAATGCTAGTATTGGATACAAGATAAATGTTACACACTGGTCTGAGTTTGGAAGCTGCTGCTACCTTAAGTATATTGTGTGTATGATAGTTTATTTCTTGAGTACTTGCATATACAGTGCCATTGTTTCCATCAGCAGTAAAGCAATGCTGAATGCCAAAGAACTGCATTACAATGCAATAAATCTTAGTGATTTCCCTGGGGATAGATTGCACAATGTATCTACCACAAGACATAATGGAATTGGGTTCAAAATAATCTACAATTGTAAATGCCATGTAAGTGTGTCTTTAAGTAAACTGAATTTCTAATTCATACTGTTTTGTGTGGGTGAATTCCATAATTTACACATGACAAAGCTGCAATTCTGAGATGCTTGTTTAGACTGAACATTCTGGTACAGTATCAAAGCCAGAGAAATTATTATTCACTTGATTGTAAAACAACGGAGGAATATTGCTAATGCATTATTCAGAGTGACAAGTGAAAATGGCTGTTAAAAAATCTGACCTGTTTTGATATCTGTCTCTTAAAAATGATTACAGCTCCATTGTTTCAATGAGTCTGCAATCTGTGTCAATCTTACCGATTTCTAAATGCCATTCACAGTGTTAACCTGATGTTGACAGCTCTGATAGTGAAACTTTCATGTAAACTAGTCATCCTTTCAGTATAGAAGAAAGATTTCTGAACCGGTATCAAATGTGTACTGAAACCAGAGCAACTTCCAGACCACCAATGAATGTGTGCAATTTAGTTCAATTCATTAGAAATGTGTTGTTTTAAGATTTCCATGTCATTAAAAAAAATGTGTTGCATATGCTATTTACAAATGAAGTATAATTTCATTATACAAAAGGCTTAATCTGTATAAAATTCTCCTTTTGATGGAATTGTGAGTTATGCATATCACTATGATCTGCTTCTTTCTTAGGTCTCGAGTTTGCCTACTCAGCCGCCCCCAAGTCTATGCAGAGTGCCATCATGGGATTGTTCTTTTTCTTCACCGGTGTTGGCTCATTTGTTGGTTCGGGGCTTCTAGCCTTGGTATCCATTGACTCAATTGGATGGATGAGCTGCCAGAGTGACTTTGGTGAGTAAACCTGATATTCCAGTATAGCCACATATTCCAGTAAAAAAAAATTCTTGACAATTGGATTTCTTCATATCAACCCATTAATACGATCACTACACTTTATAACCTTTCCTTGTGCAGCCCTTCAAGATATTTCCAGGTTATATGGGTGCTGTATAACATGTAAGGTTTATTTTACACTCCTCTTTTTCTTGGACCATAAGTATTCTTTGCGATTGACCAAAATACATGATAAAAATAAAATGAAACCTTTCAGCCTAGGAAACCAAATTAATTCCACTTGTGAAAGTATTCGCTTGTGGGTGACAATTGCACTGATGCCAGTGTCATCGGTGCATTCATTCCATTTTATTGTAAAGCAGTTTTCCAATGATAAATGTTTTGTGTTGGTCGTGTTTTGAAAGATCTCTGCAGCTGTCTCCTTAAGGCAGGTTTTGCTAAATTCTCATTTCTTTCATGATGCTTTTTAGCTGAACTCTTATCATTCTAATAATAATAGTTCAGTTGCCCAGGAGGTGTGCCTACAGCATGATCTATGATAGATGGCATACTTTTTAAATTGCGTCTTCATCAGGGTTATTGCACAATCTGTTAAAGCCAGTATAATGATACACTCTTAAAAATTCTATCAGTTGTAAGATGAATCTGAGAAGCAGACCTGCTTGAAATGTGTAACAGTAATGACTGCAGAGAAAGCTGATTACAGTAGATGAACACTAATAAAACCAAACAAAATCCAGAAACGATTAATTTCTGATGCATGAGTTTTTAAAACTGGTGTCCGTGTTCATTTGCACATGACACATCATGTGTATTAACGCTTATGATAATGCATATTCACACTTCATATGCTACATTTTCCTCCATTGTTTCCAATGTATGATCTCTGTAAATGCCTAATACTGATGTAGCTCTCAAAGTTACAATTTGTATTCCTAAAAATAATGAGCTAAAAAAGCAGTCTTAGTTTTGAAATAATAAAATATCATGGATCAATTGATCATGCCCAGATGGCCAAATATCTAGAACATATGGAAGAACTAATTAAGGACTAGAAGTAGTTATGTAATGAACATTTGGGGGAAATTTCCCAGGCAATAACATGGGCTGCCGTGCATTACATGGGTTGTAGATGAGCTCATAATCTGCATGAGCAAAGCTTGAGCAGTTCAGCCATGTTGTGAGAGACTTTGACCTAAAATATACAGGTTCACTTCACAGAGATGTTTTTATTGCTGCTATTGCTGGTAGTAAGTGACAGATTCCCGTGATTTCACTGCCTGACGTAAATTGCAGACATGGGAGATTTTATTTGAGGAAAATAGCTGCAGATAGTGTTTCAGCAAGTGTTCTTTTACAACATGTTTCAGCAGACACAAAACTCTGTCACAGGAGCACTAAAATTAATGAGGGAGAGAAGAAATTAGGAATTATGTGAAATAGTCAGATATATGCAATTGCTAGACTGCCATGGTCACATTTTTATCTGGGGAATCTTAACACATTCTGTCCACTAACTATCGAACATTTTATCCTATATGGGACTTCCTATTAGATGTACTGCTAGATTAAATACCAATAAACCATCATCCTACATTTACACCAATATACATCCTTTCATTCATACCAAGATGATTGCACTTTTCTATTGGAAACAATTTCTTTAGTTCAGTGTCTTCAGGAAATATTCACATGTTAAGGCCTACATGACTACTATGGTGTAATCTTCTGTAAATTAATAGTTTTTTTTACTGATAAATTACTATAGGGTGACAAACCATCTGCTTTGAGCTAGCTAGTCTTAGGCTGGTGACTATTCTAAATTAAAAATATTCAATGTTTCAACAAAAGTAACATTTTACTATTTCTTTATAAAACAGCTATTAAGTATTTTCACAGAATATGCTGCTCTCTTTTTGCATCCAATCTTATTAATCAAATGTTCCTAGTGACTGACCTTTTTCTGGTCATACTTGCTTTCTCTGCACTAATGGATATCGTTTTTGAAACAATAAGGCAGTGATAGATCAGACATTATGATGGTGATGTCAGGACATCAGTAACTTCACTAAGGTTGGCAAGCGAACTAAGTTAAAGCATTTTGTCACTGCTGTGAGGAAGTATGACAGAATATAATTTCCTTCAACCATTACACTGGTTATTTATAAAAAGGGTCATTACTTTCAAAATGACTTGCTGTATTTGCTGGCTACGTGTAGACTCGCTGTTCTTGTATTAATGTATTTTCTCTATCTTCCATCTGCATCAGTCTCTTGTAGCCTTGCTCATGATCGCAGGACAAATACTTCCTCTGTCATTCTGTGTCAGTGCATTTGACTTTGTTTCCATATTAGTGTTTGTGATTTTGACCTTAACAAATGTTTTGCTGAAATTTGTACTCGTTAAAGAGAGGGGTTCAGGGTTTGAGAATACGATCTGCTATTTGCATGTTTTTGGGATGGGATGAGTTCACCCTTATGAGCGGACGGAAAGCAGAGGTCAGACAGCCCTGTAGAGCTGGCACGAGGCATTCTTCGTCTCCCTGCTTCCTGAGATGCGGAAACAAACCTTCCCCAAAGTATGGTCCGCTACACTTCCAGAAACAGCAATCCCCGTGCAATCTGCAGCACTGCCACAGAAACCATGCTGCCACTAGCAGCAGCAAGCCTCAATGGTAAACACAAGGTACTTCTGCATCACTTGTGGAAGGTCAGGCTTTAAATTGAGTTTGACTGGTTGGGGGGTGGTTGGGGAGCAGAGACTTTCGTTCTTAAAAATCCAACAGGATATTCAATTAATACTTCTATGCTGAATGAAGAAGCAGTTAGGTTGCCTGTTGTTTAGCACTTGCTTCCGTTGTGCTGCAAAGCAACACATTTGTTTTCCTCTGCAAAGGCAACTTTCTGGATCATAAATGCAACTGAATGGTGCACCGGGAAATTATTGAAGCACTGACTGATAACTCAACCAGAGCCAGCAGTACCATTGGTAATTGTGTCAAATTCTCTGTCCTCGTGAAATATTAATGCAATTTTATTTGATCCTGACATGGGTCAGGAATGCGGGTGATCTCGACATCTAAGCGAGCTGTAATGTTTAGTGACTATTTAGCAAGCTATCACATGCCTTCTCATTCATAATGAACAGCACTTTCAAATAATATGGAGTTACCTGTCAGTCATATTGTCAAATGCTATATAAATTTCTGCTTTCATTCTCTCCTGCTTGTTGGGCTGCTAGACAGATTGATAGTAGACAAGCAGGGCTTCGAGACATAACTGGGTTTGGTTTGTGCAATAGAAGGCATCCTACACAGGAGCATTTAGAAATTGTGCTTTCTATTTGCCCAGCAAAATATTTAAAATAATTTATTGCAATTTACATAGTAAAGTCAATTTTGATTAGGTTAATTGATGTTTAGTTTCCACTTGGTTCACAAATTCTTTCCGATCATCTATTGTATTGTAAAAAGGTTGTGTGCAACCCTTTAAAAGATAATAATAATTCTTGCATTTGATATAGCACCTCATCATGTCATTAAGACGTCTCAAAGCGCTTCACAGAATATACTGTAAAGTGTATTTTGTGGGCAAAACACTGCATCCAATTGCACACAGGAGCAGTAATTATATGAATTATATGAACTGTGCCAAAGCAATTGAATTGAAAATAACTAAATGAATTTGATCAAAGCAACAATTAGGATTTGGAAGGTTCAGTTATAACGAGTGGCTCATATAGGGCCCATTTTAATTAAGAAACCTTGGTGGAGACATTTAACACACTGAAAAGAGTAGGCAAGAAAAGAAGGTAAGTTACCATTTTTGTATTCTTCTTAGAGTTCAGGACATTTAAGATACAAGGAGAGTAAATAGGACAAAAAAAACATATTCCAACAGACCAAGCTCTATATCCAGGCATAACTACTCCTGATGTGACGAGAGCGCTGTGCTGTGCTTTGGTGTACTGATTGTGTTTTCATGTTTACCCTATTTGACAAAATACCCAGAGGCTAATCACACATTTTTGGAGAGAGCAGTTTTTATGAAGCACTAAATAACGTCTTTACTGAATAAGAACAAACAGCTATCTGTGATTAACATTGGTGCAATGCGTTTGATTTACTCTGCACACCCTCGTAATAACCCTATCCTTGGGAGGCAAGTATGTAATGCACTGTAGTGAATGTCCCAAAAAGCTAAACTAACAGGAGAAAAATGGAATTATTATACAACTTCTTTTTTTATGAAATGCTCTATATTTCTTTATAGGTTTCCTATGTAAATAAATGCTCGTTTATACTGGATGTAGTTACCATTGTAATGAATATAATCAAGAGTATGTGCTTAAAAATAATGGGATTCTTGAGAGTGCCTCTGTGGCAATTCTTGCAAATATTTGAAAGCAGAACCACAAGTTAAATCACAAAAGCAAAATAGCTTGTTACTTTGCTTCCAAAAGCAACTAGTCAAGTGAAGGGCACATTGGAATGGAAAACCAGAAGTAAACTTATTCCAGTCCAATACAATCTTTATCTGGTTGTAGTTGCCTCCGAAGGACAGTAACAAAATCATTTTTAATTCTTGTGAAAAGAGCCAAAGACTAATAGTTTGTTTCATATAAACTATTCTATACTGCGTGGTATTCTGCTGGTGGGCAAATACATTCATTACCTTCTGATCTAAATTGTGAGCAGGTCTATATGACAACTGATGTGACTTGGCAACTTATAATTTTTTTTTAATAGGCCCAGCAAAATGCTCTGTTTTTCTTGTTTTCAGGGTTGCTAATGTTTATCATTAGTGACTTGGTTGACAGGTGATTCATAAAATAAGTTGTATTACAGATGGAAAAATTCAGTACCAGTAATGAAAATGGATTTTTTAAAAACTCTGTAGAACAGTGAGTACTGTGTCTTTTGAAGCTTGGTGAATAGAAGGCAATTTTCTTTTACTACATGGATCTATACATAATCATTTTTTTATGTTAAAAAAAGT